AGCAGAAACAAATAAAAATTTGACAGAATTTCTCTTTTTTCAAGAAATAAAAAACTCGACAATAGACAGATAAAGGTTTAAAGGGTACCGTTGTGAACCGGGTATGGAACTCTTTAAATGGATGGTCAGCGTTCACTAGAAATTACGACCCCGGTCCCTTTACGGCTCATTTTTTTGTAGTAACCCCTGTTTATTTAACCTACTTATAGACATTCAAGTGTTTTAAATCACACTCAATTGACGTAATTTAATAAATAGATATGTTTAAACATATTTTATTATTATATTTCTAAAACTTAGTTTTTTATCAGAAATCTCAGAGAAGCCCGATAAGAGATAATTTCTAAAAAAATATATAATTTTTTTGTTGGTTTAACATGCGGATAGTTTTAGTAACATTAAGTATTTTTTCTGGCCTTTAAGAAGTACCACAACATTAAAGAAATTCAGTCTTGTATCTTCTGTCAAAGTCAACATTTTTATAATTTTAACCCTATAAAGGTTGGGGGGTCTGAACCTATGAAAAAAAAAGAAAAAAAATGCTGATCAAAAATCCTTAAAAGTCAACAATTTCACAGTGATAGTGTCAAAAATGAGAGTGCTAGGGCAAAACAAACGACAGGTTGGGGGGGGGGGGGGGGGAGGGGGGTTTCCGTGAACCCCCCCCCCCCCCCCCCTCCAAGAATCCCTCCTGCCTTCCAGGCTACCTCCTCCCGGCCTACAATGATGCCTCCTTCCCCTCCTCCCGGGATCCCCTCTTTTCCAGGCCTCCCCTCACCCAATTTAAATAATTTTTCCTCTCCAAAATGTTTTTTTTACAATAGGGAATTGTTGATTATTATTTTTTATGGGTCGTACAAATTACTTTTAATAAAATTAACTTTGCAATATTTTTATTTTTTAGAGCAAAGAAAAGAAAAACTCATTCACTTTGCCGGAAGGCAAAACGGGTGAGGGTCGGTTGGCATAGAGGTAAGCGCTTGCCGGAAATCCCATTTTGTTACGTCATCTGTGGGTCGGAGGTAAAACGGGTGCAGGTCTCCTTCACCCTCTGGCTCAGCGCTCAAACAATTGAAGTTAATTTGTAAAAATATTCTTAAAGAAAGCTGGCCTGTAACATTTTTTTAACAAATATGTATTAAGAAATTTGCCGAAAAGCAAACGGGTGAGCGTATCGAGGGTCGGACGGCATAAGGGTAAGTGAATGCCGCAAATTCCGTTTTTGAAGTCATCTGAGGGACGGCCAGGTAAAATGGGATTGGGTCGCCCTACTTCCTTCGCTAGGCAGATTTTTAAAAAACTTTCAAAGTAAATTTTTTTAAATTCAAGAATATTTTGTTTTGTTGTGAAAATTTACAAATGTGTGAAAATTTTGCCAAAAAATCAAAAACCTTTTTTTCCCCGCTTTTTAACAATTATAAAAGAGTTTGAAGAGAGTCTAAAAATAACAGTAAATAAAGAGTTCAGAAAAATAAAATACTTAAATGCAATGTTTAATATACGACGGAAACAGAGAAATTTTATAAATAGAAATATAACGTTCAAAGGATTGTTAACAAGAAAATAGAACGTTCAAGGGAGTGTTAACAGAAAAATAGAACGTTAGACGTTGTTAGCAGGAAAATAGAACGTTAACGGGAATGTTAACAGGATAATAGAACGTTAAAAGGATTGCTAACAAGAATATAGGACGTTCAAAGGATTGTTAACAAGAAAATATAACGTTAAAGGGGTTGTTAACAGAAAAATAAAACGTTAAAGGGACTGTTCCTGGAATTGTTAGAAAGAAAATATAACGTTACAGGAATTGTTAGAAGGAAAATAGAACGTTAAGGAATTGTTAACAGAAAAATAGAACATTAAAGGAATTTTTAATAAGAAAATAGAACGTTAAACGGATTGATCCGATAAGAAAAAGTGTATCATACCATAATTGTCTAATCCTAAATAACAAGTTGTTAGTCTTTTTAGCTTCGTTACGAAAATGCGATGGATATTTTCGCTAAAATTGTAGACCATTCCGGGGCTTAGGAACTTCTATGAACGGTGAGATGGAAACGTGTTCCATAATCCCAAAAAATGGAGGGAATTATGAGTATGAGTGGAGAAGGAGAGGGGGACTATATATATAAAGTTGAAATCTCTGTTTGCTTGTTTGAATTACCGAGCATAACCAAGAAACTCCTTGACCGATTTGCCTCAAACTGTACTTAAGGAACTCTGGAGAACGACGGAAAAGCTCTTATCTTGGTTTTGAGATTCTAAGTGAGTGCAGGTTCACTTTTGTAGTGAAAAATCGTAATTTACGACCGAGTGCGGGTAAACGGCGGGAATAACAATGAGTAATCTAGGCAGCGCCGGGTTCCCAAGCTAGTATGAAACTACAAGTGCTAAAGCATAGAGTAAAACGAGGATTTAAAAAATCATATAATATCTGATTAAATGTGAATAAAAAGGCTATAATTTTTTAGGTTTAAGATTTGTTCTGTCTTAGAAACTTTTTACAAAAATTTGTGTTTCAATAAACTAAAGCTAAAATGAACAGTTTAGCCTTAACAAGAAATCATTAATAATTCTAAATATACTTTTTACTTCACAGGGGACGTTCATTAATGATTTAATATTATAAATAATAAATATGAAACCCAGCTTTGCCTGAAATAAAAGTCCCCGTAGAGTTTTAAAACCAAACTAAGAAGATTCCTGTGAGTCTACCAAGTTCTCCAATCAAAATTTGAGACAAATCAAACAAGGGGTTTATGAGTTATGATCCAATCCCATCCAATCCAATCCAAACATACAGAGATTTCTACTCATAGATACAGAAAAAAGGAAAAAAGTAGAATGAGTGAGAATTAATAAGAAATATCCAAAACATTTCCTGAACTTACTTTTCCTGATCGAAGTTGCGTGATGTTTAGGATGTATTCCTGCCTTATCAGTTAATGCATATGAGTAGGTCCCTTTCTTATATTTGTGTTTATTTAAAAGAGTAGTAGGATATCGTTGAATTTGATTAAATTTTCACAAGAAATGCACAACAAAGAAGTTTATGACATCGCTTATCAAAATACAGTGATAAAAGACCCTCTTTCATTTGCTTATTTTAAAAAAATGCGGCCTTCAGTGGTCTTATAAATCAAGAACAAACTTTTTTTTACAAATGCATGCTTTATTGAAACAAAATTTATTTTCATTTTTAACAATTTACTTGTATTCCCTCCATTCAAAAAATATTTTCTTTTCTTTAGAAGTTGTCCGTAAATTTTATTTGAATGAATGACATTTTTTCTCTTATTCTTTGTCAGTTGATCTCAGTTTTTCTCAAAGGATGAAACTTCAGAGACGATTGTATAGGGAATTAACGAATTAAGTTTTTTTTCTTATATTTACATTTCTTTCTTTCACTTTCAAATAATAAAGATAAATACCTCTTTAAAACTAGGCTTTTTTTCGCGCCCATCTTCTATTTCAACTTTAAATTGTGGTTCTGTCTGTGAGCATTTTCTCTTCGAAAAATAATAACAAATTCGCATATTTTAACAAATTTTCTCGTGGATTTTCATAATTTTACGAAAACCATTTTTTTGGCGACACATTTTTGTAATTCTGAGCATCAATTAACCTTCCTTGGGATCATGTTAGGTCCCACACAAAATTAGGGCCTGATAGATTCAGTTGGTTTGATGTTTATTGGACAAACAAACAAGCAAAGTATAATTATATATATTTATATATATATATATATATATATAAAAGAAGAAGAAGGCAGAGAGTAAAATTTTCCCTCAGTCAGTCATATTCGACATTAAAACAATGAACCAGGTTTTAAGGGCGTTCTGAACATCTGAATCTCTGGAAAATTATGATCAATAGGATAATTACTTTTTAAATATTAACCTTGTCCTAAGTCCTTGTATGATGTATGGTCTAATAAATGATGTAACTAGAAAAATAATTGTACAGCTGCAACGAACTAGAGATGGGCGCCTTCGTTGGTTCATGATGTAACTAGAAATATAATAGTGTACAGCTGCAGCGTACTAGAGATGGGCGCATTTGTTCGTTCATTGTTCGTAAATAACCCATTTCGTAGTTCATTTTTCAATCATTCAAAAAAATAGTATTTCGTTAGTTCTCAACATTTTCGTTCATTTTTCATTTATTTCGTTCGATTTCTCACTGAACGATTGTTCATTATAAAAACGGTAATTATTAAAAATGTTTTTAAAAAAACTATCGTTTTAAAAGTTTGTTAAAAAACCCTTTCGTTTATTAACAACAATTGTTTTCTTTTTTATTTGTTTGAACGATCCAAGTCATTCGTACATCGTTAGTTTCATAGCGACCCACCCGATTGTACACAAAAAATGCCTTTATCATTTTATTGTTGTAGAAACTTTCTACTTCTGATTTCGAATATGTAAAATTCATCAAATATTTTCGGAAGTGAGGGGGAGCTTTCCCTAAAAGTATAAGATTCGTAGTTTCCCCATGACTCAGATTCCCCCTGTTCAGCTTTCCCTGGATTCTCACACTGCTGGGAATTAATTTTAACATGAGAAATAAGTAAAAAAATCATTTTTTTTAAAAAAGTACTTTACATTGCGGTATGTTGATGATCGAAGCGTGGCTTAAAATTGCACAAAAAACGGAAATTGAAGCGTTTTATGAAGCTATCATTATGGCTTAGATTTTACCGCTCTCTTTCAATTATGCTTTTCAGTAGCCCTTACCATGTTCCTTGTTGGCAAAAACTGCTTAATCATTAAATAAACCAGCAAAATACCTAATTAAATGCAGAAACCAAAAATCAATTTCTTATTAGTCATATTTTTTGGAGTTTTGGATCGTCTTCATAGTCTCAACCTTTGTGGGTAACCCTGTATATATATATATATATATATATATATATATACACATATATATAAAAATGTTTTTTTCATAACTTCACAGAACATCATTAAACTGCAAGGCACACTCTGCTCCAGAAACTAAAATTTACCCATACTTTAAAAATTTATTTGAAAAACAAGAAAATTAGGATAAATCTAATATTGCTGGATGTCATGACACGAGTTTTGTTAAGGAGAAAAGTAAAGGGTACATAATATAGGGGGGGGGGGGGGAATATCCTTTGATCATGGAACAACAAATATCCATGCCATTGAGATATGAATTTAAAGATCGCAGAAAAATTATTTTGAAATAGACCCATTTTTTCCAATTGATAAAAGATAATATCAAAACTAACATCTTTTCATGATGTCCTATATGTTATTTATTAATAAATGATAAATCAATTCAATTGAATTATGAGTTTGTTTGAGGTTCTGTTGGATCTTCCTGTTTGCTTTCTGAAACCATTATTCACATTTTACAAGGAAAAAATTGTTAATAAAGGGACTGTAAGCGAAATTTCAAGTAAACCTCCCATGTCCGATTCAAAACAGTACCGCTGAAAGTTTTGTCTGTTCAAGGATAAATTATATATAAATGTTTAATTTTGCAACCTGAGATGGAATTTTAATATTAAATTTAAATTTCTCTACGTGAGTGATTTGCACATTCAACTGAAGGAAAACTTAAAGGAATTATTATAAATTCACGTTGAATTTATAAAACGGTACCGTTGTGATTTGGGCGTTGATATCTTTGCAGAGGGTCACTTAAACATAACAATTACAGTCTTAAGTATTTTCTCCAAAAGACACTTTTTAAAAACCTTTTCTCTAAAACTGTGGAATAGGAAGACGACTTTCAGACAATGAAGATGAAGAAAAAATCAATGTGTCAATAGGAAACTGGAAAGTTGATATTGAGAAAATGCCTGTGCGAGAGTAACTAAAGTCAAAAACGTGAGTTGTCCCTTTTTTGTTGATTGATTGATTATGTGATAAAAAGATCCTCGGGTTCTTCTACTTTACTGTCTAGATACAAAACACATTCATTTTCAGTTTTTTCTACAGTTTCACCCAGTACCATGGAGACATCAAACGAGTTTATAAAATGTCGTCTCGAACATTTTTTCCTGGGTTTTATACTTTAATATCTAGATCTCAGTAATTAAAAAAAATAGCACTGAAATATGCGAGGACAGTTCTAAAGCGCTCTAAACAAATATTTAATTAAAAACTAAGTATCTTCAGCATTTCATTATCGGTAGTTAAAGAATATGACATCTCATAAATTATTTCAATGACTCCAAAGTTCCGAGTTAAACTGTAATATTCTTCAAATTGAACTTATCTTAACATTCAAATATTAATGTAAATCAAATCAGAATGTTAGGGACTTCCTACGGACCATTTCCGAAACTGTAGTGCCGATACTAAATCAGCATTGAAAGTCTTATAGCAGTTATGGATTTTTTCTAATTATGTCAATAAAAAATTTGACATGTTATTAAACGCAATTTTAATATTTCTTTAAAATTTGTTCGTGAATTATGCCACAACGGACGTCCGACAGATATAAATAATTACATAAATGATATATAAACAGTTTTTGTATTTTGAGATTCAAAGAATAGATAAATAGCTTTTGTTTTTTTAAATGATCCCATTTGCTTTTAGATGGATTTTTTTAATTAATAATCAGAAAGTTGTTGAATAGATTTAGTATTCAATTTTGATGTTAAATGATTTTATTTCATGGAGTTTAAATCGTGTTGATAAATGTATTTGAATGTATTAAATTCAAAATGCGGTCAAATGGTTTTAATTTTTAGAATTTGAAATATGTTATTTTATCTACCTTTTCGATTATGTATTTGATTTTTTAATTTTTTATTATTTTAGGGTTTGGTTAGGTAAAGACAATATATGGACCGAGTGCTGCGGCTAGGACAGGCTAGGGAGCCGAGTTCTGCGGTTAGGACAGGCTAAGGGGCCGGGCACTGCGGCCACATGACCAATTACATCTATGTGTAACATATGAGATTCATGTACAAAATTGATAGGAGGGGGAGGGGGTAGGGCGGAGCGGGGCCCCCGTCCAAAAATCGTTCTCTAGGAAATCACCAAAAATCACCCTCCACACCCGATGTTTGGTATGTTTGCATTGAGAGGAATTGTCTATAAGGTTTTATTATTGTTGGGTAAAAAACCAAGTAAGATCCGGATCTGGCTTTAAATCCTGATCCTAATCATCAAAATGTGTTAATTGTTCTAGACTATGTGAATGATGTGCCTAAAGAGAATGGCGGAATCCTGCAGTCGAAAGCATAACCATCCTCTCTCTCCATTCTAAAGGTTCCCCTGAAAAAAGGTTTAATATGTTAGAATTCAGATCCGGATCCGGATCCGTCCCCCCCCCGCATGATCCGGAAATTCTAGACTAAAACCAATTTAGTTACGAAAATATATTTTTCCGGATTGATTTATTTGGAAATATTGTTGAAGACAATTCCGAAATAAAATAAATACGTAACTAACCAGACTACATTTAGTCAACTATTACACGCCCCACCGGTTTATACATTTGAATATCCGAGCTGGGTCAACCTTTGCAGTCCTATTTTGGACTGTACCGCCAATTTACAATCACTAAAGCGGCAGAGAAGTGTGATTACATAACGTCAAGTGATATATTAGACGCCAATGTTTGCCAGGCTGATACTCCCAAGAAATTAAAGAAAGCTGACCAAATTTAAAGCAATTTTGACATTGTCACAATTGACGTAATGAATGAAATGACTAAAAGTAGTTATGACGAAATATAAATAGGCGAAGTAAATGGGCGAGATGTAAGTTGTAAATTGATGACATGTGTTGTAAATTGACGAAATGTAAGTTGTAAATTGACGAAAACTGAGTTGTAAATTGAAGAAATGTAAGTTGTAAATTGATGAAAAGTAAATTGTAAATTAATGAAATGTAATTCGTAAATTGACGAAATGTAAGTTGTTAATTGACGAAAAATGTAAGTTGCAAATTGATGAAATGTAATTTATAAATTGAAGAAATGTAAGATGTAAATTGTTCAAATGTATGTTAAAAATTTACGAAAACTAGGTTGTAAATTGACGGAAATGTAAGTTGTAAATTGATGAAATATATGTTAAAAATTTACGAAAACTAGGTTGTAAATTGACGAAATGTAAGTTGTAAATTGACGAAATGAAGTTGTAAATTGACGAAATGTAAGTAGTAAATTGACGAAATGTATCCATATCTCCCTCGTAACTAACCACATATGTCCAGAGGGAGCCTGCAGACTAACGTGAGAGCTGTATTGGAAAGCTGGCTGATCCCTGAAAAAGAATAAAAAAAGGATCTTCAACGTAATTTAAATTTTAGTAATTAGTATCAAATCAAATTTTAATGAAAGACTAAGTAGAACCCTTTAAACCTTTGTCTTAAAAATGTGTTATTATGAATATTTTATGTTTATTTACCTTGATAGAACTGGTTCCTGACCAACTACCCCCTGACTGCAGTACGTTATGTTTATTTACCTTGATAGAACTGGTTCCTGTCCAACCAACCCCTGACTACAGTACGTTATGTTTATTTACCTTGATAGATCTGGTTCCTGACCAACCAACCCCTGACTGCAGTACGTTATGTTTATTTACATTGATAGAACTGGTTTCTGACCACCCAACCCTTAACTGCAGTACGTTATATTTATTTAACTTGATAGAACTGGTTCCTGACCACCCAACCCCTGACTGCAGTACGTTATGTTTATTTACCTTGATAGAACTGGTTCCTGACCACCCAACCCCTGACTGCAGTACGTTATGTTTATTTACCTTGATAGAACTGGTTCCTGTCCAACTACCCCCCTCCCTCTCACTGTTTCCAGTGTACCAGATAAAGAGAAAATTCTCCAATTTCTTTCTCTAAATCAAAATAAACAAATGTTACATGTATCATACAAAGAATTAAGTCTTTGCCACAAACTCCGATTTTCTAATTTTTTAATGTTTGAAACCCAATGTCGTATGACCTTAGATATTTCAAACTAAGAATTTTGCTAGATCAAATAATATAAGTGTGAAATCTCAAAGGTGTACACCATCAGAGGCGGAATTTAAAGAATTTCAGCCGTGACTTAAATTTGAGACGCGGCTCAAGTATGGCTGGTTCCACTTAAATTGTATTCAATGTTTCAAGATTTAAGCCGGCGCTCGACTGAAACCAGCTTTTGGCGGATTTGAGATGCGGCTCAAATTCATTAAATTCGGACTCTAGTTGAATTGCGTTTGTGGCGAAAACTCAATTCCTTTGTTTTACATGATTCTTTATTTGAAAAATGGAAAAATTGAAAATTTTTATATTTTTCTGATCCTTTTCTTAAAGGGATTTTTAAAAATAATTTTAGCATCAACAGTTTTATTTTGAACTTGTTTGATTGAAAGAATCGTCACTCTTTTTGGATGAACTTGAAATTTAGAGTTGAATCTCGGGGCCGGGTTCGAAGAAAATTTGTAAATTAAGTTAATTCTGAGAACTGAACCTGAGTTGAACTGTAGCTTCACCAAGATTCTCCAACCTGGAAAATTCAAACTTAAAGGAACTGTTAAGGTAAAATGAAAGGGGTGCAGGCAGAGGCGTATTCAGGGGGGGGGCTTTGGACCAGTGAAATCTATTGATTTCAGGGGGCTTTCAGCCCCCAACGGGCGCTTAGCCCCCACATCAAAAAAAAAGTAAGCCCCCCTGGACAAATTCCTGAATACGTCCCTGGGAATGGCTGAAACCTTAACGCTTTAGGAGTTGACCGCAACCTCTAATGTCTCTGTCTCGAGAAATTGATGTAAAACTGCGTCAAAGTCATACCAAAACTCTGAAAATTAGGATAACCCAGAGTTGCCTTAATATTTTAGGTACGCTCCTATTTTAATTTGAACAAAATACTAACTCTTTTTTAATAGATATAATTGATAATATAATTGGTTAGTCTGTATCACATGACCAGAATTGACACCAATGACAGTGTAGTGTTTGGTCACGTACTTTTGTCTGTATCACGTGACCAGAATTTCTACCATTGGCAGTTCAGAATTTGGTTACAAGGCTCCGTCGACCAGATTACGTTAATATGAGTTTTAATGTCTCGAGACTGGGACATCAGACAGAATATTTACGATCAACTCTTAAAATGTTTAAGCTTCAGCTTTTACCCCTTTAATTTTACCTCAACAGTCCCATTAAAGGAATGAGAGCGTAATTTCAAGTGACCCTTCATGTAAAGAGTTGCATACTTGATTTACAAAGTTATCCCTTAACCTTAAGTTTGAGCAAATTATTTAGTAATAATAATAAGATTATATAATAATAATAATAAGATTTACTATTAATCCGGTCACATCAAAATGTTTTAGACGGATTTAATTATGATGAAATAGCTGAAATTATTGACGATATATGTAAAAGCTAACAAGTTTTTTTTATTGTTTTCGACTATACATTAATAATATACTTATATGTTATATATCTCATTCCTCGTTGATTTTGAATTGTACCATTATAATTGTGTAATAAATAGAATAATAATAATGTTAATCTTGATTTTCAATCTAAAACTTGATTATTTTCAATCTCGGATCTGACTTTTGGATTTGTCCGGCAGACAACATAGAAAATGTAAAAAAATGTGTATCTTATTATGAAAGAAAAACGACGATATCTCCCTTACTGTTAATCCGATCAAGGGCTAAAGGACAACGTTGTGAATCCAGCATGTAACTTTTTATATTGAATATAACTTGAAATTCGTCGATTTAAAGGAACTGTAATTGCAAAACTTTATGTAAGAATTAAATGAATTGTAGGCAAAACTTTATGTAAGAATTAAAGAAATTGTAGGCAAAACTTTATGTAAGGATTAAAGGAATTGTAGACAAAACTTTATGTAAGAATTAAAGGAATTGTAGGCAAAACTTTATTTAAGAATTAAAGGAATTGTAGGCAAAACTTTATGTAAGAATTAAAGGAATTGTAGGCAAAACTTTATGTAAGAATTAAAGGAATTGTTGACAAAACTTTATGTAAGAATTAAAGGAATTGCAGGCAAAACTTTATTTAAGAATTAAAGGAATTGTAGGCAAAACTTTATGTAAGAATTAAAGTAATTGTAGACAAAACTTTATGTAAGAATTAAAGGAATTGTTGAAAAAACTTTATGTAAGAATTAAAGGAATTGTAGGCAAAACTTTATGTAAGAATTAAAGGAATTGTAGACAAAACTTTATGTAAGAATTAAAGGAATTGTAGACAAAACTTTATGTAAGAATTAAAGGAATTGTAGACAAAACTTTATGTAAGAATTAAAATAAAGAGAATGTAAACCAGAGATATGGGTTCTTTCCATATGTTTTTAAGTATTTCTTTAAAATTTTCCACACATTTTATTAACTATTTTTTTCAAAATTAACCTGATGCAGTATCTCCACCAGTAGACATTATTCTAAAAAATAAAATTATACACATTTTTTTTAAAGTATCAATTATATTTTAATAATATTTGCAAGTGTGTGAATAATCATTAAATCTAAATATAAGATCTAATCTGGTTTTTGCAAATGTTATTTTCAGGTTAATTCTAATTAATTTTAGGTTAATTATACTGCTCGATTTACAACAATACATTAGCCTAGCTACAAGTGTAAAATTTCAAGCAATGCGCAAGTCACTTTTAAAGAGAGACGAAAAGATACAATAAGTTTTCATAAAGCAAGACGTGGATATCGTTGCGAATCGGATATGTCACTTTAACAAAAGAGGTAGAATTAAAATCACTTTTTCAGTCCCTTTAATATATATATAAATTTAGCTTGTCTCTCTGTTTGTTTGTTTGTTTGCTTGTATGCAATAAACGTCAAAACGGCTGAACCGATCGGGCCCAAATTTTGTGTGGGACGTTACGTGACCCCAGGGAAGGTTTATGAATGATAAAAATTTAAAAATTTGTTTTAAAAAGTTTTTTATTTTTGTAAAATTTTGAAAATGAGCGAAAAAATATTATGAAATCCGCAAACTCTTATTGTTATTGTTTCATACTGTCCAAAAGTGAAGATGCTCACAGATAAAGCTACAATTAAAAATTGAAATAGAAGATGGGCGCGAAGCGCTCTAAAAGCCTAGTTACTATAAACAGTACCTGCTGGTTCTCTCTGAACCCCATATAGAACGGTATAACTGTTACCCTGGAATACCAAAATGTCAGTTAAAGATAAATTTCAATTTCAACTTAAATCTTGGTTAATACTAATGTGGCACCCATAAAACTATGTAGAAGAGACGGATAATAAACTCAAGTTCTGATTCTAAAAAGTCCAGTGAAGATGAAACACAGTGTTTGTACAGAACTGTCTCAGTTGATTTTCAAGCTACTGGTAAACTAATTAACGACATCAAATACTCGATTAGAAAAATTCCCTTTCTAAAGTTATATGTCTCTCACTGTATATCCCAGGGGTGTAAATTAAAAGAAATAACCAACCAATTAAAACTGATTGGTAGCAGCAGTTTGAATCTTGAATACGAAAATAAAATAAGTCACTTTTTTGTTTAACATACCTAATATTCTCAGTCGTTTCTTTGTGAACATCACTTAACTCAAGCCAGGGGTGATTCTTTTCCTAGGTAGGTAGGTAGCTAGGTAGGTAGGTAGGTAGGTAGCTAGGTAGGTAAGCAGGCAGGTAGGTAGGTAGGTTGTTAGGTAGGTAGGTAGGTAGGTAGGTAGGTAGGTAGGTATGAAGGGGGAAGGTTGGTTGTTAGATAGGTAGGTAGGTAGGTATTTAGGTAGGTAGGTAGGTAGGTAGGTAAGTAGACAGGTAGGTGGGTAGGTAGGTAGGTAGGCAGGTAGGTAGGTAGGTAGGTAGGTAGGTAGGTAGGTAGGTAGGTAGGTAGGCAGGCAGCAGGCAGGTAGGTAGGTAGGAGGGAAGGTTGGATGTTAGGTAGGAAGGTAGGTAGGAAGTTAGACATGTAGAAAGGTTTACAGTAGGTAGGTAAGCAGGTGGGAGGGTAAGTAAGTAAATATATTTATTTGTAATGAGGATGGGTAAGAAAAATAGAAAGATAGAAATATAAATTATTCAGTGTTTAAAAGAAAGGAGTGTTATCTATATAATAAAACAAGACATCCGTATGTATGTTCCTTATAGCCGGTTAAACGGCTGGACCGAATGAACTGACATATTTTGTGGACACTTATGGATAGCCTGTGAGTGACAGACTAAATTTTTTTTTTCACGGGCAAAGCCGGGCCTTTCAGCTAGTCTATAATAGAAGACATTCCTTACATTATATTAGACGTTCCTTACATTATATTAGATTTTTTTTCAAATTTTTTCACGGGCAACGCCGGGCCCTTCAGCTTGTTATTTATAAATACTAACCTGCCATGCTTTCAAGGTATCCTGAGCCACGAATGGAGGATCTAAAAAATAAATAATATAATAAATACTATTTTCATTATTATAATAATTAATATAACTAAAGAATTATTATCATTTATGGTAATTATTTGTAAGCAACATGACATGATAAACTTTATCTGAACGATATATAAGCCTTCGAGTGTCTTTTTATTATCTGTTTGTGGTTTGTTTTCAAATATTCAGTAAACTACAATCCTAATCACATTCCAATAATTGTCATAATCCATTATTTAAAACAATTAATTACAATAAATCGCTAATTACGAGGATATTAATGCAACATCTTTTGTCCAACATTACCAACCTATGATTCCCCCAACTGAGGGAGATTAACTTCTGTAAAAAAAATCAACCCCTCTGCGAAGTTAAATTCGCGCATTTTCATCTCAAAAGACGATAAAATTGTGTACAACTACTTTTTTCGGGAAATTAAAAATTTTACTTAACTTCACTGTAAAATAGTTGTAAATAATTATTACCGTCTTTTGACCAACATTGCCGACCCGTTATTCCCCCACTAGCGGGATGTTAAGTTATCTAACTGTCCCTGGGGACATAAAAAAAATGCAGTTTTCGTAAAAAAATTCACGCATTTTCACCTCAAAAGAAGAATTTGTTTGGGATATTAAAAATTTCATGAAGATGTACGGGTTCCCTTTCTACGCTTTGCATATTTTGTAGGCAAAATGGGTCTTGGGAAAATTCCATTCCTTCCGTAAAGAAATAGAAATAAAATAAAAAATTCATATATTAAAAGCAGAAGTAAGCCATTTTATTTTTCATGTATTTTTTCTAAAAAATATCATTAATATTTACTAGAAAGTAATGAAGGGACTGAGTGAGGAAGAGAAGGGGGGGGGGCAAATGGTTAACGAAGTATAAGTATTTATGAAAATGAACCATGATTATTTATAATTTATATTGTTTGCTTGATGTTCCCCCAGGTTTGATAAACTACCTGTCCCTAAACCCTATTCATCAACTTTACTTCCCTTCTCTGGATAAATAAATCATTTACATTTAAATATCATAGATTTTCTTTAACATTTTTCTTTTTACTTCCAGGACCGAATTTAACGAATTTGAATGAAATTCGAAACACCGGTTCAAATCCTACCTTAATCTTCTACGTTAAAATCGGAGGTTCACATTTGAACCTGCTGTAAGGTGTTCAGCGAGGTAGCAAGAACTAATTAAATTCGGCCCCAATTTTGGTTATTTTTTTTAAATAAAGAGACTGAAGTCGTTAATTAAAAACCTCAATATAAAAAATGTCCGAATCACAATTCAGTTTCCTTTAAAGCTCTGTCTCATCATGTATAAAGAAGATATCCAAAATTTCAACGGACTTTTTGCTGTAAAAAATGAAGATAATTTTGAGAATTGAACAACTTGAAAAACGACGAAATCTTCCACATTAATGATATGATAAAGAATTACAGGGTACCGTTGTGAATCGGTCATGACTCCATTTACAGAAAGACGTAAAAACGTTTTGTTTTATTTAAAAGATTTTCAGAAAAAATAAAAGCCCCCCCCCTCCAGTAGATTTAGANCATATCTCTCACATGACTTAAATTACAAATTTCAACTAAATATATATATATACACAACATACATAAATATTTAATATATTAAAAATAATATACTATACATACATAGAATTTAAAACAGTTGTTTCAAGCCCACAGGCAGATAAGCCTGCATTGATTATAGTATTAAGAGACTGTTCTTGCAATTAACATTAAACTGCAATTGTAATTTTAATTTTTTTCCATGATTCATGAACGTTTGTCAAGATTTTTTTTTAAATTTAGCAATTTGAACAGTGATTTCTTTGCAAGGACGAAGACAAAAAAGTCTAATATTCGAGAAAAAAAGTGCACTATTTATAACAAAATAATATTGTGAATCATTGATGTCCCATGAAATAAAATGTTATGCAATGCTTTGAGTCCATAGTTTTCAGAATGAATACATTTTGTGAATGAAAATACAAACAAGAAAATCTTCCAGAATGGATTTAAACTTAATTCTGGATGGGTTTGGACTCTTAATAATAATATGGCAGGTTAAACGTGTTTATATTCCAACCCCCCACTTCATTTTTTCCTTTTTAAAGGACTGTTCCGTAATCGTAAGTGATCCCCAATTTAACAATTTTTCAACGGAAATCTTGAAAACCTAAACTTGATTAATAAAGTGTTTTTCTGTGTTTAATTTTAATAATTTTTCATTTGTAGTGAAAGCAAGAAATGCGCAGGTCACTTTTGCAGAAAAACCGCAAATGAAAAAAAGTTTTCTCATTCATTCCTTATCAGACAAAGCTTTTCACTTTTCTGTATATTTTACAAACTAACATGAGCAAACGTTTAAGAAATCCTACTATTATTTCACATTTATTGCTAAAAAAGGTTTATTTGTAAAAAAGCAAGTTTTTTCCTTTCAAAAAGCTTGTTTGTAAACCAAATAAAATAGTTACAATACTTTATTTTCTACTAGCTTGGGAAACCAGCATAGCCTGAGCTGAAAACTTTAGAATGGATAAACTTTAATCCTGACTTCTTGATTCGAATATCCACTGTGGAAACTTTTCATTTTAGTCCTTAATCCACTCTTTTTCTCTCTCCTTGTATATCCTTGTTTTCTCCAATGAGAATATTTCTGTTCTCTCATTGGTTGCCCGCTTTTCTCTGATTGGCTGCTACAGTTTCTCAGATAATTAAATATTAATTTGAATTTTATCGTTTTTCATACACTTTTAAGATAATCTTATCTTGCAAGATTATGTTAATCTGGAGATTAAGGAAAAGAGTGGATTAAGCCTTAATCCCGATATCCACCATTCAAAAGTTCCCAGCTCTGGATTCTTTCAAGACAACCAACTCAATTAAGAATTTTTAAAGAAACCAATGAGCTTTTCTCGTGATTCTCTCGAGTTCCCCACAATCAACATTTTAGGAAATCGGTCATTTGTTATGATCGGACAGACAAACAGAGATTACTACTAGCTTTATATATATAGGTAATGTTTTTATTTCTATTATTTTGTTTAGATAGTTTATTTGTTCGGCTGGGCGTTCCTCTGCACTATTGGTAAATCATTAACTAAAGAATTAAATAAAACAAAAACAAAATCAGTTGATACCTCCAAAATATCAACATAAACATAGGAAAAACAAAACAAAACAAAGATTAAAAGTGTCAACTAATGAGAGATCGTAAAAAAATCGAGTTCCTACAAAAAAATAGCAAAAAAGACAATTTTGAAAATTTTTCAATGGTAAATGAAATTAAGCAAAACTTAAAAAAAGTTGTAAGTTGCAGATTTTTTGTAGGACACTGGTTGGTATTTTTGGTAGCAACTAATTCCTGGTTTAAATATGATCCTAAAGGGACTGAAAGCATAATTTGAAGTGACCCTTCATGCAAATATGGCGCTGGCAGTTTCACAACGGTAACCTTAAACTTTGTCTGATTAAGTATGAAATAGATATTAATGTTTTATCATTTTAAAAACAGATTTTTTATCATTGTTGTTTCTCTTTAAAATGACTTGCGCATTTCTACTGCAGGAAAACATCTTGGAATTATCAGAATTAAACACTTTTGAACCTAGAAGATCGACAATATCTTCCAAAATATTTCTCAGATAAAGGGATTATTTTCATCCTTGCAGTAGGGGAGTCACTTGAAATTACGCGTTACTAACTTTTTGCGAACACTCCCTTTAAGTGGACACATGTCAGCTGGTTCCAACCTTAATTATCTATGAGCACGGAGTAGCAATAACATCAATATTCTCATTTATAGGTAATAACTGAACTTAAAGGGACTGTAATGGAAACATGAAAGGGGTATAGGCTGAAAGCTAATCACTTTAGCTCTCGATCGCGACCCATGAAAGTAAATCTGATGTTCCTATCTCGAGAAACTGATTTACAACTTTGTCAAATTTATACGAAAATTAATATATATACAATTTTGTATGTAGTGGGTTTAAAAAGATCAAATTCAGCAAATATGCAACCAATCTGAAAACGATGATATCCCAGAGAAAGCTAATTGTAACTTAGGTTTACTCCAATTCTAATTTTATATTTGTTATTTCTATTTTTTATAGATTTATTTCATAATATTATTTATACGTCCGTATTGCTTGACCAGAAATTCTACCAATGGCATTGCAGTAAAGTAGTCACGTGATACAAGCGGAGACACGTGGCCAGTATACTGCTCTGCCATTGGTGATAATTCTGGTCACGTGATTTAAGTTTAAGATTTTCTAAATTTTACATATATGAACTTTCGTATAATTTTAACACAGTTTTATATCAATTTCTTGAGACAGGAACATCAGATTAAACTTTCATGGGTCACGATCAAGAGCTAAAGTGATTAGCTTTCAGCTTATACCCCCTTTCATTTTTTCCTTTACAGTCCCTTTAAGAGAAGCAGTAAACAATAAAAAGAATACTACTTATATATCTAAATTTCAACTGCAAACTTTCATGCTAAAATAAAATAACTAATTAAAAAATCATTTCTTTTTAAAAACCTAGTTTTCTGGAATGAAACTATTTTTTATCGAATCCCGCTAATTAAATTTATTCATGCAGGACACTGCAGGTCTATGTTAAAACCAGCTTTTTAAAAAGAAATGCCATTTACTCACAGAAAAATGATGACCAATAGAAATACAAACCCCATCTTTATTCAATGAAATGAAACATTTTGTAAATATATTCCTAATGCATATTTCGCGTTTCTTTTCAAACCCCTGATTAAATTTTTTTTTGCAAAAAATCATTTCAGGTATACAAATAAAATAGCGCAGTTCAGGGTGGGTCGTTAATTAAATTATTATTTTTTAAATTTCAGAATAATTTCTTTTTAGCATCTTTGTATCCAATCATAGTCTCAGATCCCTTGGAGGTTAATTTCTATAGTTTAGAGGCTGATACAGGTTAGTTACTACAGTTAAGAGACTGATACAGGTTAGTTTCAACAGTTTAGAGACTGATACAGGTTAGTTACTACAGTTTAGAGACTGATACAGGTTAGTTACTACAGTTTAAAGGCTGATACAGGTTAGTTACTACAGTTTAGAGACTAATACAGATTAGTTACTACAGATTAAAGGATGATACAGATAAGTTTCTACAGTTTAGAGGGTGCTACAGGTTAGTTTCTACAGTTTAAAGACTGAAATAAGTTAGTTTTTACAGTTTAAAGGCTGATACCAGTTACTTTATACAGTTTAGAGGCTGATACAGGTTAGTTTATAATGCTACAGGTTAGTTTCCACAGTTTAGAGGCTCATAAAGGTTAGTTTCTACAGTTTGAGAGGCTGATACAGGCTAGTTTCTACAGTTCAGGCTCATTAAGGTTAGGTTTAACAGTTTAGAGGCTGATACAGGTTAGTTTCTACAGTTTAGAGGCTGATACAGGTCAGTTTCTACAGTTTAGAGGCTGATATAGGTTAGCTTTCTACAGTTCAGTGGCTGATAGAGGTTAGTTTCTACAGTTTAGAGGCTGATTCAGGATAGTTATTACAGCTTAGAGGCTGATTCAAGATAGTTATTATAGTTTAGAGGCTGATTCAGGATAGTTATTACAGTTTAGAGAATGATTCAGGCTAGTTATTATAGTTTAGAGGCTGATTCGGGATAGTTATTATAGTTTAGAGGATGATTCAGGATAGTTATTACAATTTAGAGGCTGATTCAGGATAGTTACTACAGTTTAGAGGCTGATTCAGGTTAGTTTCTACAGTTTAGAGGCTGATACAGGTCAGTTTCTACAGTTTAGAGGCTGATACAGGTTAGTTACTACAGTTTAGAGGCTGATACAGGTTAGTTTCTACAGTTTAGAGGCTGATACAGGTCAGTTTCTACAGTTTAGAGGTTGATACAGGTTAGTTTTCTACAGTTTAATGGCTGATAGAGGTTAGTTCCTACAGTTTAGAGACTGATACAGGTTAGTTTCTTCAGTTAAGAGAATGAAACAGGTTAGTTATTAAATATACAGGACAGATTTTTCTTTCTTTAAAATTGGTAACAAGCAAGCTAGAAACTGTGGCTTTTCAAGAACACTTTAACAATTAACAAAAATTAAATAACATTTAAGATAGAGAAGTGACAATTTGTTTACTATTTGTTAATTATTAAGCTGAAGGGTCATTGGAAATTACAATAACAATCCATATAAAGTAAAATTTTAATAGTTACAATTATTAATTGTTATTATTTTAGAATATTATGGCACTAGGCCTCACTCAAACAAATACAGAAATGATCAAAAAAAAGCGACAACGTTAAATATAATTTTTGGCAGAAAAAAGAATAACTTATAAAATTTTCAGAAACTGATAACGGACCAGAGAAAGTGGACGAGGGAAAAGATCCGAAAAAAATTGAAGAAGACGAAGAAAGGAAAAGTGATGAACGTGATGAGAGATTGAGAAAACAAGGGTTAGAAATTAAAGATATCTATAAAGACAAATTAATTAAATAACTTTAAAATACTGTGTGGAGATAGCCTAAACATTGATGAAAAAAATGTAAAACAAAAATTTAGGAATGAGGTTCTTTTAGAGGTATCAAATATTGAGAAAGTACAACGAGGAAATCATGTTCAACATCTCGATCATGTTGATCATGTAGATTATGTAGACAACAGGAAAGGTTTCTTTCTATTATGAGTATGCAGTATGCTATGTTTCTTGAACAATAAAAATATAATTTCGTAGATTTTCATTTCAGATTCAAATCAATGACAAAATAAATTTAGCAATTAATTTAAGCAGGGTCTTAGTTAAATCTAGAAAACCTCTTTTCGTACAGGGATGATCTTGATGGTATAAACACAGTATTATTAAGGTAAAAACACTAATAAGGAAAATAAAATTAACTTTTTAAAGTGTGATAATCAATTTTTAATCATGTATGTATACCCTATTTAAAATTTTTTTTTCACTCCCTAAAAATTCAACCAATTTATTCTGATTTTCATATTTTTTTTACATAAATGTTTTTCTTCTAAATCCTTAATATTTTTGAATATTCTAGACCGAGGGCAAAGGTTTCAAGGAAGGAGACTAAGATTACTCAGAAGATCTCAATCATCTCACAAAAGGCAGGAATCTAGTTCAATTCTATTTTGAAGGTGGGGTGGGGGGTTCTAATGAATTTCAGACATGATTTTGGCTTGAAGTAAATGAAAATAAAAAGCAAAATTTTTTTAATTGATGTAAAATAAAAATGTGTAAGATTGCACGAGCAAGTTCTATTTTCATGTTTTCCAAAAAAAGATGAAACCCTGAAAAATAAGTTTAACAATTACTACGACCTAAAAAGTGTTAACATATTACATATCTCATGTGCCAAGGCTTTATCCCCACAAACAACTATGTTTCTCTAAATTATGTTAACATATTACATATTTCTGTAATAGGCCAAGGCTTTATCCCGACAAACAACTATCTATCTCTAAATTATGTTAATATATTACATATTTCTGTAATAGGCCAAGGCTTTATCCCGTCAAGCAACATATGTATCTCTAAAATTGTGTTATCATATTACATATATCTCTGTATTAGGCCAAGGCTTTATCCCGTCAAGCAACATATGTATCTCTAAATTATGTTAACATATTACATATCTCTGTATTAGGCCAAGGCTTTATCCCGACAAGCAACATATGTATCTCTAAAAGCTGCTCAGGCCAAAGACCAAGAAGATCACAAGGGGCCCAAAGATGTTTTACAAGAACGGAAGATGGACGTTTTATTTCTAGGTTAGTTTGTAAAGAAAACCATTTCTGTCAACTTTTTTCTTAACTATGTCAGTCCCCTGTTATGAGAAACTACCAGGGGGAGGGAGAATTTTCTACACCCCTGCACTGTATTCATCTGTGCTGGTTACTTACAGTTCCTTTATCCTATTCATTAATATTCATCTAATAGGTATATTCATCTGTGCTGGTTACTCTACAGTTCCTTTATCTTATTCATTAATATTCATCTACTAGGTATTCATCTCTGCTGGTTATACTACAGTTCCTTTATCTTATTCATTAATATCCATCTACTAGGTATTCATCTGTTCTGGTTACACTTCAGTTCCTTTATCTTATTAATTAATATTCATCTACTAGGTATTCATCTGTTCTGGTTGCTCTACAGTTCCTTTATCTTATTCATTAATATTCATCTACTAGGTATTCATCTATGCTGGTTACACTACAGTTCCTTTATCTTATTCATTAATATTCATCAACTAGGTATTCATCTGTACTGGTTACACTACAGTTCCTTTATCTTATTCATTAATATTCATCTACTTGATATTCATCTGTGCTGGTTACACTACAGTTCCTTTATCTTATTCATTAATATTCATCTACTAGGTATTCATCTGTGCTGGTTACTCTATTGTTCCTTTATCTTATTCATTAATATTTATCTACTAGGTATTCATCTGTGCTGGTTACTCTATTGTTCCTTTATCTTATTCATTAATATTCATCTACTAGGTATATTCATCTGTGTTGGTTACTCTATGGTTCCTTTATCTTATTTATTTGGTGGTTAGGTTCTACTTTCATTAGGTATTCATCTGTGCTGGTTACTCTATTGTTCCTTTATCCTATTCATTAATATTCATCTACTAGGCATTCATCTGTGCTGGCTGCTCTACGGTTCCTTTATCTTATTCATTAATATTCATCTACCAGGCATTCATCTGTGCTGGTTACTCTACGGTTCCTTTATCCTATTCATTAATATTCATCTACTAGGCATTCATCTGTGCTGGCTGCTCTACGGTTCCTTTATCTTATTCATTAATATTCATCTACCAGGCATTCATCTGTGCTGGTTACTCTACGGTTCCTTTATCTTATTCATTAATTTTCATCTACTAGGCATTCATCTGTGCTGGCTGCTCTACGGTTCCTTTATCTTATTCATTAATATTCATCTACTAGGTATATTCATCTGTGATGGTTCCTATACAGTTTCTTTATCTTATTCATTAATATTCATCTACTAGGTATTCATCTGTGCTGGCTGCTCTACGGTTCTACAACTTTTATCCCTGTCTTCTTTATCTACAAGATGTATGGAGAGGGACTAAGGCTGCAAGAGACAAAGTAAGTCATTCGTCTTACTTAACATTTTCATTGATTTAACCCTTTATAAAATCTATTTTTTAAATAGCGCCATTTAATTTTTATTCAAATATAACCTTTTTTTTAAAATTTCATTCAAATGTAAAACTTAAAAAATACTTTTATTCAAAAATAACCCCTCTTTAAAATTTTCAGTCTAGTAAAACCTATAAAAAAAACCTTCCGTAAATAAAATAAAAATTATAAATCCTGAGAACGTACACACTACACACATTGGACGTTTTGATCAGAGGTCATAAGTTATCATAAGTTTAATAGTTGTTGTTAAAAAACAAAGCCAACATTTTTTGCTTTTAGGAATTGTAAATCTCCAATACATTTTTGGTTCTACTTCCTCCATATTCTCATCGGTAAGATTATATTTACTATTTAAAAATATTTCTATAAAGAGGATGTACCATGATAAAATTCCCCCCCTCCTACCTCCCCCAGGGCCCTTTTCAGAATAATTTAGCCATATGGCATCGCTTGATTTGGCAAACTAATGATTTTAGAAGAAAATTTTTGTTGGAACAGACATTTAAACGTTCAAATCTTCATCTTCCTGCCTAAATCTTTTAAAATTATTTGTGGTTCTTTATAAAATAAGTTCAGAGTTTTTTTTATTAAAATACTATGCATTTCCATCAATTTTAATCCAATCTAAACTTTCTTGATTACATCTCTGTTATAATGCAATAAATCTTTAAAAAATACGCAGCTATTGCTGATGTTATGAGTAACTTATTGAAATACTTGATAAGTGGTCTCTTTAAAATACTATTTCTAGAATGGTTGCTAGTTGTTGTGCTCCTAGTGTTCGTCTACACTGAGTCAAGGAAGAAGATGAAAAACAGAAGATTGGAAATTCAAACTTAACTTTTTATACTTATTAACAAGAATATAAATATCATTTGCAAATGTACGATTTTTTTTGAGATAGGTTCCAATTTGTTTAATTATTTTAAAAAGGGGGTTGAATCAAGATATTTAAACATATGTTGAGAGAGGTTCCAATTTGTTTATTTATTTTAAAAAGTGGGTTGAATCAATATATTTAAACATATTTTTATCAACTGTCTTTTGGATTTTTAAAGTCGAAGCGAAATCATTTTGATTAGTGGGTTGCCTAACGTAGAGAGTTTTGAAATTTTCTGACCTATTGGTGGATACTTATTTAACCTGTTTATTTTTATATCTCAATCTGCAGACAGAATAATTCAATAGACAGACATTTTAAAAATACAAATCATCTTTGTTTTTCATGGATAATGCAGATTATCTCAAACAATTAAATGTTTACGATTTAAATACTGATTTCAGGCTTTGTAGGTAAATTGTACTAGCTCATTCAAAAGTTTCGAACTCATGACTATTACTTCATTATCCCTCTAAATCTGATACAAACGATGGACTCTTTAAGATTTAACTAGCACTTTATTTAGTTTAAAAAGCAGTATTTTCATCTTTTTCCCTTTATAATCAAACTTGCTTTAAAGCCCGGCGTTGCCCAGGTCTATATTATTATTCATAGTCAGGTTACTTTAGCAGTTTAACCCTGCTTGGTATTAAATCATAAATTTTAAGTCTATGTAAACAGATTAATTTTATAATAGCAATAATGATAATAATAATATCTAAAATAAAAATCAACATTAAACAGTATAAAGTATGATCTCAAGTATTACTGCACCAAAGTTTGACTTCAGAAATGGATGAACAATCAAGTCATACATGAACTATTACATTTTATTCAGTATATAACAGAACATGTACAACAACACAAACGCTGAACATTCCATATATGTACCAAATTTCCGAAGTAGCCACCATTAACTTTGACACATAGTTCAGCTCTCTTCCTGGTAGAGCGTGCCATCTCGATGTGCTGATAGTTATGTGCTCATGTGTATCCAGAGGGAGTTTTTTTTTACATAAATCAAATTGCTCTATAGCAATGGATAGAAGAAAACTGAATACAGTTTAGTGGATATCTGATGTCAAACTTTGTTCCAATATTATTTAAGCATACTGAGTCCAAATTTAATGAATTTGAGCCGCGTCTTAAATCCGCCAAAAACCGGTTTCAATTGAGCGCCGGCTTAAATCTTGAAACATCAAATACCATTTGAAGCGGAACCAACCATATTTGAGCCACGGCTTAAATTTAAGCAGCGGTTCAAATTCTTTAAATTCGGCCTCTGTAGTAATATATTAGTTCCTACCTTGTCCCTCAGCATAAAGAAGAAACTTATCAAACAATTCATGCTGCAACGGAGCTGTTTCCTAAACAACAAATTTAGCTTAGAAATAAGGAAAATGCAATTTCTAGATTTTAAACTTTTTTAAAGAAACTAATTTAAAAACTAGTTTTAAGTTTCTAAATTGTTTAAGAAATTTAATGAGAAAATTGTCGGATAAATCAAGAGAAGGGGGGTTATTGATGAATTTTAATAATTCAAGAAAAGTTACCCAGAATGAATTTTCATCATTTAAAAATTAGGATACCATTACCCGATGTTTCATATTTCTAATTTCACTTGATATCATAATTTGCTTGGCAAGTTGAAAGACGTCACTCATAAAAGTTTTGATTACTGCTATGTTAATTTGAAAAGAGAGAATAATTGTTTTAAAAAATTGACGAAATCAATTAAACTTCGATTAAATTCCCAGATGTGACGATAACTTGCTTTATTTTGAACGTGCAGAGTGTCCCACAAAACATAACGGTAGAGAAAATACTTTAATGTTTTTGATCTTTGAAAAAATGTCCGCCATTCATTTACTGACCTAGTTATTCTTGAATTAATAATCGATTCTGAACACATCTCCGTTTTTTTTAAGCACATAAAAGGCTTACCACATTTTGGAAATACCAGGACTATGGAATTTTTGTGAAAATTATTTCAAGAATTTAACTTCCAAAATTAGACTGACAAATAAATGCAGCAAAATGTTTCAAAGATAGACGTCTCTTTAATAGCATAAAATTCGCAATTAACTTAATCATAACAAGAAATTTTCAATTTGAGAAAGAAATAAGAGGATATTTTCATAATTTTTACATGGTACCGCTGTGAATTGCACATGCCCGCCTTTAATGAAATAACAAGTGCAGTCCTTATAAATTATACCTTGTTCGAAAATACTGTGCCATCTGTGTGCAAAAAAAAAAATGGATAATGGTGTGCGATCCCCTTATGAATTTAGTTAATTGCAAGAAGTCAATGAACTACGTAACCGTCTACTTAAACTTTGAATCAGTGATTCAGTGATCCTATCAGCACTTGAACCGGCGGTGGGTAGTTCAGCGACTTCTCTCTAATTCATTAAATCCTGCCCCTGCTGTATCATGATTCCTGACCTGAGTTGAGTAAGGTAGAATATCTTCATGAGCTACATAATCCAGCCCTGGTATAGCGTACAGGTTCCTACAAAAATGATCATTTAGGCACATTTTTACAGTGATATGTATTTTTCTTAAAGAGACTGTTATGGTAAAATGAAAGGGGTCTCGAGAGATTTGAGAAATTGATGTAAAACTCATATATAAGGATGCATAAGGAAGTGAAATCTGCAAGAGGCCCCAATGTGGACCCCCAGATATGGTGTTTATATAAAAGTTTTAACAGATCATATTAAGCAAATACGGAACAAATCTGAAGACTACGATAACCAAGAGGTTCCTAGAAATTGTAGGCATGCTCCTACTTTAATATGAATGTTGTACTTCTTCATTTAAATTGGAGATAAATAGATTTACTAAAGATTTTTCTTAATCACATGATCAGAATTTCTACCAATGGCAGTGTAGTTTCGGGTCACGTGGCTCCGTTTGTATCAATTGACCAGAATGTCCAACAATGTCAATGCAGTATCTGGTCAAGTGGCTCCGTCGACCATATTAATAATATAAGAGTTTTTGTATTAGGAGTTACGACACAATTTTATTTACTTTCTCGAGACAGGGACATCAAATATTATATTATAAAGATTTATTCATACACAAAGATATAAATACATATATAAATGGTGTAGTTTAAATTTGTTTAAATAATTTTTTTTTTGAAAACACAGGTTTCCAAAAGAAAAGAGAAAAAATATGCAAAATTATGCACAAATAGAAAACATTGATTTTTACTCACTATATAACATATTTATTATTTCAGTTATTACGTAATCATCGAATCCTTCAACATATAAATTATTCATTCTTGTATTTAAAAGTTCTTGTAAAACCGGAACTTTCCATGCATGTTCCAATGGGACATCAAAATATTTCAATTGTTTCTTAACTAACATTTTACTAAGATCCGAAGGATTTACAGAACAAGGATTTGCAATAGAAAATAAATTTCTGCCAATAACTGTGTTGAGGTCATTTTTACATAAATTAGAAAGAAATCTAATGCAAAGCTTAGAACTTGCTTCAATAGTCTCATAGAAAGACAAACATCTGCTAGCTAACATAGTTTTTACATGTAAACATTGTGAAATACTTTCAATCAAGTACCTATGCGTATCTCTAGGTACATTAAAAAGAATTCTAATAGCAGTATTCCATGCTGTATACAACACTGATAATTTCTAGGCTTTAGCCTATCCCCCTTTCATTTAATCTTCACAGCCTCTTTAAGAATTATCCCCCCCCCCCCTATCTACAACTCCCTCAGAAAATAATTTCTCCCACAGATATTGGCGAGTGCAAAACTTTGTCGGATCAAGATATGAATATTTTTCCTTGTTGAAACCTGATTATTTTCAATTTTGGTTTCTCTATAAAAGTAACATGCGCATTTCAACAACAGGAACAAATATAAGATTGATTAAAATTAAAAACTTAAAAAGCTAGAAAAACGACAATATCGTCCACATCATTGATCAGATACAGGTTTCAAGGGTAGCGTTGTGAATCGGGCATTGTCATTTGGGCATGTAGGGTAAATTCAAACTAATCTTACAGTCCCTTTAGCCATGTTCTGTCGGATACCCTACCTAGTATTTTCACTGTGGTTCCCCAAGAACGTCACTGATTCAGTTTGTGCACGGTGGGTCTAAAATTTAAATATGTTATTTATCGAGATGAAAAAAATCTAAAACAATATAAATTACTTAAATATTGCTATTGTTATTAAGAAAAACCTAATTATCTCCTAGATTAATACTTTTTAATTCGATCCAATAAAGCTTAGGGGTAGGTAATGACTGAGTCCGAATATAGGAAGCCCCAAAGTTACAGTTCTAGAAAACATAATTTCTGTGTTGTGGATCACAGGATCAAGCATTAATCTCCATTTTATTCAGATCTACGGATTAAATAAATGTGGGTCTCAGGATCAAGTATTATCTTCATCTTATTCAGATCTACGGATTAACTAAATGTGGATCTCAGGATCAAGCATTAATCTCCATCTTATTCAGATCTACGGATTAATTTAACTCCACTAATTTCATATCCCGTAATGGTCATACCCTGCTGGGATAACTTTATTTGATTTGTCATGCATTGATCCTCAAAAGTGCTCACATTGGATATCGAGTATTCAAGATTAACAATTTTCACATATTCCGATTTTAGGAACCACTAATAAAAACCTTAAAGTTCTAAAATGACTTTATATCAAAGAAATGCTTCGTTAAAAAACTTAAAATTAAAAATACAATGACAACATAAGTTTTAAAATAAAAATACATTCTGATATTTCTAATCCAAAATAAATCGATTATTAACTTTCCCCAATTGAGCGATAAAAACATTTTCAAATCGGATAAGTACTTACAATATATGGGCAATCCCTTCCATCAATTAGAACCTGGTAGTAAGTATGTGTTCTTCCTGAGATTACAACAAATCTTAGTTTATGAGAATTCAAATTACTTTTACAAAAAAACACCCTTTTTGATACTTTTCATCCAATCATACCCAGAGACTCTCATTTCTTACACAAATATTGATTTTTAGAAGAGAATCCAGTGGAAAATAAAATAATATTGATTTTGAGAAGAGAATCCAGTGGAAAATAAAATAATATTGATTTTGAGAAGAGAATCCAGTGGAAAATAGAATAATATTGATTTTGAGAAGAGAATCCAGTGTAAAATAGAATAATATTGATTTTGAGAAGAGAATCCAGTGGAAAATAGAATAATATTGATTTTGAGAAGAGAATCCAGTGGAAAATAGAATAATATTGATTTTGAGAAGAGAATCCAGTGGAAAATAAAATAAGTTTTGTTCCTTTTATTTCTTTAGCCGGTGCTCCTACATTGTTGGAAAATGTTGGCAGATCTGGCTCTGGTAATTTATCCCTTAAATAGTAAAATAATAATTATTTTAATTTGATTGATTTAGCAATTGATTAATATATTGATCAGGCTCTCATAATTTACAATTTATCCCTTAAATAGTAAAATAATAATTATTTTATTTGATTGATTTAGCAATTGATTAATATATTGATCAGGCTCTCATAATTTACAATTTATCCCTTAAAAAGTAAAATAATAATTATTTTATTTGATTGATTTAGCAATTGATTAATATATTGATCAGGCTCTCATAATTTACAATTTACAAGTGATCATGATCATGATCATTAATCATGATCTTGTAGTTTAATCCTAAAATATAAAATTGTTTTAATTTTGATTAATTTAACAGTTGATGTTTATCCCTTAGAATAATAAAATGATAACTATTTTGACTTGATTTAACAGTGTATTGTTCGATAGATATATTGATCAGGCTCTGAATGTTTATTCCTAGAATAATTTAATGGGATTATGGTATATAGCTGTATATATATATATATATATATATCTGTTACCCCCTCACTCCAATCCTTATATCTACTATTCCTTTACCTACCTCAACCCAACCTATTTGTTACAAACAGCATTTGGAAATAAATTCTTAGTGGACAGATGTTGTGGGCCCCATTTTTAGGAACACTCGGCGGAGCTAGGATTTGGACACAAACTCAAAGTAAAAAATAAAATTTAGAACAATTGCCTAAACCTCTGCACTTGCTAGCCTGGCCAACTTTTAAGGATTAACATTTCAGGCAAAGGCATAAAAATTTGCAAACTAAAGAAAATAAGTCTGCCGAATCTGACACCTACTTGAGCAGAGTTGAGTGTCCATAAAATACCGGTTTCGACAAATTTTTTTTTTCTTCAAAATTATTAGGATCGAGGACAGTCAACAGAAGAAAAAGAAATAAAGGAAGAATGAGAGAAATGATGGCAAGAATAATCAATTTTTCTATATTAACTGTACCCAATTTATAAAATAAAAAATAAAAAATTGTTAACAAATTTGACTTCTATCCCTACCTGATGAAGCCCAATTCCTTCTTGTTTGGCAGGTCTCGGTCATAGACCCGGGCAAGCCAGGGGAATAGGATAACACCACGGTAACCAAACACCTAGGTTCCAAAAATAATTTTAAAAATCAAATTATCAAAAATTTAATTATTTTTATCTTTTTAAAGGCAATTCCCTTTATGAGACTGTAGTGTGTTCAGGGACATGATATTTAACAAAAAAATATTTCCCCTCATCCATTTCTGAAAATCACTTTTTTCTCCACATCTTTGGAAAGTGAAACTATATTTTTGGCGATATTATTATCTGAATTGGGGAAAATAAATAATTTTTAGGTGAAAATAGATCAATTTTAGGGGAAAATAGATCAATTTTAGGGGAAAATAAATCAATTTTAGGGGAAAATAATTAAATTTTAGAGGAAAATAAATAATTTTTAGGGAAATATAAATAATTTTTAGGGAAAAATAAATAAATTTTAGAGGAAAATACATAATGTTTAGCCAAAAATAAATAAATTTTAGGGGAAAAGAATAAATTTTAGAGAAAATGGATAAATCTATAGGTAGGTCTAAGAGTCAAAGAAGGCGTTGCCTTTGATTTTCCTTTTTGCTTACCTTGTGAAGGAAGAGTTGTCCAGTATCATAGTTGCCTCCAAGCTTTGGGGTGTCTAGTCGACCAACCTCAGATAAACTAAAGAAAACAAAAACAGAATTAAATTCCTCATTTAATTTTTTTGCAATTACGACAATAATAATCATAACTTTAACAGTACAAGTTATGTTATGCCTATAAATCATTTACTCCATCCTTATAAATTAATTCTGACCTTGCCTTCCACCCTAATAAACTAATTAAACCCCTTTTTAACTTAAATCTTTAGATCCACCCTTTGAGACTGATTTAAACACTTCACTTTTTTAACCTTTCACTCTACAATATTAAATTATTTAAAACTTTTACACATCACCCTACTAAAGTAATTCAATTCTTTCACTCGACTCTATCCTCCACCCCTAGAAAATACTGACTTGTTAGATAAGCATCTAAAAGCGGGAGAACAAATTCCAGTCAAATCTCTATTCAAATAGAGAAACCTGCGCCCCCACAGCGCCATTTTCACAATTTAATTAATCTATAAAATATTTAAACAATTAAATTCAACAATTTAAAAATTAATAATAAAATAAATATAATATAATGAAATAGTAAAAAAAAAACTTAAGTAATTTTTGGGACCCCNGTATTTGAACTTAACATGTGGCCTATAGATATTTGTAAATAGACCAGAGCTGAAAACTTTAGAATGAAATATCCAGATATCCCGTCGGATAATTATTTAAGTATTATATTTGATTAATATTTAAAAATAAAAAGAATACAATTTAAATTTTTTTTTAAGAATTAAAAAACTCAACCCCATATATTCTGTACCAATCAGTTCAAAGTCCCAAAAATTGTCGAAATTTTACCAACTCCCTACATTTTTGATTACGCCCTGAAATTGAGAAACATTACAGATTTTATTGACTGTACTAAACCCAGACGTCTCGAGTTTGTTTTTGATAGTCTCAAGTGTCATCATCTTTTTTTAGTGATACTACGCATATTATTGCAATCAGCTTTTTAATGAAAACAGCAGAATATATGAAAATATATACAGGTTTTTTCCTAGACGAACAAAATCCTTGCGTTTTTTGTATTTTCATCGGTCTTATGAAAAGTTTTTTTTTCCATCATAATGATCATCATTAATAACTAATCACTGTTTAATGATTATTGAAATTGCACATTTTAAAACGTTAGATAAATGCCAAAAAGAGTTGTAACAATTTAGCCATGGTTCATCTCTTCCAATAATTGCGCATACTGCCTTAATTATAGCATTGCATAGCTGTTTAGTGTTTTAAATTCCAAATGGATTTTACATTGCTGAACTCGACAGCACTAACTGAATGTAGATGGGTAAGATCTTGTTTATCTTTGTATTTTCAGATGATTGAATATTATGTAATGGATTAGAGCAAGAAATAAAGGATGGCTGTTGATTTCGCGGATTATTTCTGGGGGGAGAAGCATGAAGGCTTTCAGGTGAGTGAAGAGAACATTTTGAGGACCCCCATTCTATCAACTTCATGTACATGTCATTGTCAACAAATTTAATAATATTTATCTAGTATTACCCGGCTTTTAGGGCGCTTTGCGTCCATATTCTATTTCAATTGTGAACACGTTCTCTTTGTATACATTGTAAAACAAAAACAAATAAAAATTTCGCAAATTTAAAAAAGAAATTTTGTGGATTTTTTAAAGTTTTCAAAAATCGAATTTGCTTTGCTAGAGACAAATATTTGAAAATTAAATCATCCAAAAACTCTTACTTGGGTCACGCGAGGTCCCACATAGAATTAGCAGAGGTTTATTCCTAGAGAACGAATTTTGGACCCCCCCCAGGCCCCCCCTCCTATCAATTTTGTCCATAGGTCTGACAGAAAGTGCATCTACTAACTAACCTTACCCGTGGCCGCAGCGCTCGGCCCCCTAGCCTGTCCTAGACACGGCGCTCGGCCCCCTAGCCTGTCCTAGCCGCAGCGCTCGGCCCGTAAATTGTCGTAACCTAACCTAACCTTCAATAATAAACAGTCGGGGAGGGGGGTTCCAAATCGTTCTCTAGGACGGACCCAATATAACTCTAATTGCACGTGAGTCTATACAGGAACAAGGGAACTACAGAGAACCTCGGTCTGAAAATTGGGTTCCATAAATTGAGCGTAAATGCCGAGATTTATTAAAGTCCTGGCGATATCTTTTGTCGATAAAAACTTTGCAGACTCTACGAAGTATAATTGAAAATTTACGAACATTTCGGAACAAATCGTCTAATATCTAAGGTGAGAAAACTAGCCATTAATAAATATTTTAAAAAAGAATTTTTTTTTAAAGATAATCAAATAAAAAAATAAAATAAAAACTGCGTAGAGACTGACCACCTTAAATAAGGTCTTATAAATATAAAAATATTAAATATACAGAAAAAAACCATCTTTAATTCATAAAATATATATATATTTTTTACATATTTTAAAGCTCTAAGGCTGAAATTGCTTTATATTCCGTTCACTTTAAGGATTAATGCTAAAAAAAATAGATTTAATTAAAATAAANTCCAAAAATCGTTCACTAGGACAGACCCCCTTTTTGACTTTATTGGATACAAACAAACAAACAAACAAACAAACAAAAAGACTAGCAAAGTATATTCATAGATTTCAGGGTTATCTTAGGTTAAGACAAATTCTGGGCCGAGCGCTGCGGCCAACTTTGACCATGTGTGTAACATTTGAGTTCTATGTACAAAAGGGGGGGGCAATTCGGCACATTGTGACACCAAATTTTGTACAGGCTACATTTGGTCCTAATAATTGAGATAGAAGGCTGAGATTTTGCATGCAGCCTCTAATTTTAGCCATCTACATGGATCACGAAAAAAAATTTGAGATTGGAGGTCATCGATCTCCATTTTGGCCTCCATGAATTCAGAAAATACGGGATAATGCCACTGTTTTCCTCTTATTCAATTATTTTAAGTAAATCAGACATGTTTTCATATTTTTTTGCTTCCCCATAAATCATGTGCTGATATTGACACATATATCCGACCTCCAGTTTGGCCTCCCTTCAAAAGCGACCTCTAAAAAGGTCAAAATATTAAATCAATGAAAATGGGTCATGTGAAGCATCAACTCATAGGTTTTTGGTGTTCTGATTCCATTCTGAGACCTTTTTTTGATCTCAGATGACGACCTCCAAGATCTCAGATTATCCTGGAGGTCGTGACATCCAAATATCAATGACCTCCGGAGTTCCAAATATGAAATCAATGAAAATAAGTCATGTGGGGTATCAAATCATAGGTTTTTTTGTGTTCCGATTCCATTCTAAGATGCCGTTATGATCTTAGATGATCCCGGAGGTCGTGACCTATAGATATTAATGACCTCTGGAGGTCAAAATTTGAAATCAATGCAATTAAGACATGTGAGGTATCAAATCTTGTATGTTGTTAATTCTCACATGTTAATAACACTGAATCAACAACAGCTTCATGCTTCAGAGAGAAAATTTTCAATGGATTTGTTGTTAATTGGTTAAAAGAATTGATCATTATTTAAGATGTTTTATTCATATCCTTTCAATTCTAGTTTTTTAAGAAAATCCGCGAAAAAATTGAGGGGAAATCTGCCAGTTCTGTATTTTCTCCATATGCAGTTTAAACATCTATATTTAAATTTGGCTTGTCTGTCTGTCTGTCTGTTTGTATCCAATAAACGTCAAAACGGCTGAACCGATCGGGCCCAAATTTTTTTTGGGACATCTGGGGACCCCAGGGAAGGTTTATGAATCATCAAAATTTCAAATATTTGTCTCCATCAAAATTCGATCGTCATTAAATTTTTAAAAATTTTGAAAATCTGCGAAATTTTTTGTGAAAATCCGCGAATTATTTTTGTTTTGTTTTACGATGTACACAAAGAGAACATGTTCACAATTAATTTAGAAGATAAGGCTAGAAAGAAGGGCGCGAAGCGCCTTGAATTTCTAGTACCTATATAAACTACGTTGTAAGTTGTCTGAGGATCTAACTGCGTTAATCCTTAAATGCGCAAAACTTTTTATGCGACTAGACTAGCTACGTATTGTGATTAGCTTAATATTGTGAAAACGTATTTGAACTTAACATGTAGCCTATAGATATTTGTAAATAGACCAGAGCTGAAAACTTTAGAATGAAATATCCAGATATCCCGTCGGATAATTAATCTGAAGATTAAAGTCATGAGGAAAACAAGCAATATTTAATCTGGAGATTAAGAAAAAGAGTGGATTAAGCCTTAATCCTGATATCCACCATTCTAAAGTTTTCAGCTCAGAGTGTATAGAAACTCTGCTTTTACAGTGTAAAGTAATTGCGTCCTTATTGAAACATACGGGCTGAGATTGTACCTCGGTATTTGGTACAGATTGACTAAGAGATTGTTTGATAGCAGATTGTCCCTTTGTGGCATTTAGAGCTAACGAGATTGTGACCAGTGGTGGTGGCGTTGATAGATCACTGGATTGTAGCCGTGTAGATCATGTTCTGATTGAAGCATTAATCATTTAATTGCTAGTGGCCGTATTGACACCGATAGCTAACGAAATCTCACCCAGTGGTAGTGGCGTTGATAGTTCATGGGAGTGTAGCCGTGTGGATCATGTCCTGTTTGACTTTTATAGCGGACAGGTTGTACCTGGATTGATACAGTTCGGGACGAAGTTTTAAGAGTACGGCATTTACTACAACTCTTCTTATGCATATTTATGTATTTATCCATTTAATTATTTATCTAATCTAATTATTTATGTATCTAATCCTTTATGCATCTATTCACGCATCCCCCTATATCTAGGTGTTGATGCAGAACATGAAGGCAAGTCTGCTGGCCTCTAAGGAGCTGGGGGAGTATGTTAAGGAGGCTTCAGTCATACAGGAACACAATACAAAGGTAGTCTTACTCTTACAGGGAGAGTTCGTAAAAATGGTTTTTTTGTAAAACAATATCATGGGTGATTTAACTCCTGGGGGGGGGAGGGATTTTTTTATTTGCTAGGGATAAAAATATGACAAATTGGACATCCAACGGCAAGTTGGGGTTTTTCATCCTTTCTGATACTTTTTACCCAAAAAGTAATTTTTTTAATTTTGAGGGAATTTATCACACCTAATATTTCCCGTTGTAGGGTGATTAAATGACTTTAACTTAATTTCCCCCAATACAGTGAATAAACCTTGCCAATAACTTACCAAACATATAAAGAAAAATTTTTCAAAGAATGATTATTATTTACATCCCTGACTAGTGACTGGACAATAATTTAATTAGGAATCAACAGTTTATATTTTTATCATCTTTTGGCCAACATTACCGAGGTTAGGCTACTTAACGTCCCTTCAGTTAGTATTAAGGATAGAAATGTATATTGGCGTTATGAGGTCATAATGAAGCTGGTGGACTGCTTTTTTAGCCGCTTAACACTGGGCTACACTGTTGTAGTTAACGGTGACAAGAAGTAGGGACAGAAAAAAGATTCAATACCTATTTTGTGACCAATTTCGAAGAGCCAGCCTAAATTTGTCTTATGTCTTATGTCTTATGTTAGGACTTAAAATATCAAATTTTTAAAAAGATGTCTCAAACTTTTAACTTTATCGAAAGCTATAAATCATCAGTTCAGAAACAATCATTATGTGTTATTTTTTATGGTGAGGGGACAAGAGGTGGGGGGGGGGGAGGGGGGCTGTTTTCTTCAAAAACGTCTCCGTTAAAATTTGAGTGTTCTAGGCCTATGGAAAATTGAGTAGACAGCTGGGAGGGAATCTATACTATGGAACATTCTCTCCTATTATTGCAGGAATATGTCAATCAATCATTCAACTATAAATTAAACAATTATTCAATTAATTATAAATCAATCAATTCATTACAAATCAAACAATTAATTATAAATTAATCCATTAGTTATAAATTAATCCATTAATTTTAAATTAATCAATTAAACATAAATTAATCATTTTATTAATAATCGATCAATTATTATTTTAATTAGTCGAATCATTTGATAATTAATGAATCCGCCAATAATTTGATCAATTAATCAATCGTTTATTTTCAATTGATTTTTTAACCAACTTTCTTAATTTATCAGATCTTTCCCTTATCTTGCTATCAATACATTTGTTTATCTATCCAATTTTATAATTTTATAATTGAACGAAATAACGTTTCAAAAACTATATATATAAATATCAAGTCACTGATTTATTGATTGGAAAATTAAGAAAACATTTTCAAACATATTTTAAACTAATCTTTAATCGATGAATCACATTGACTTGTGCAGCTATGAAAACCAGTTCTGAGAAACTAAGCCAACTCCATCAATCTACCCTCACTAGAATTAATGACCTTCTGAAGGCAAGAAACAAAACTAATTGATAAATCAAAAATAAACAGAATTTTAAAACAACAACGACATGTTTTCAGTATTTAGAATAGTTGAAAGGCATTTTTGAAAACTGGAAAAAACTTGGATTTTTCTGTAATTTACTTTTTAAAAACATTTTTTCTCTTTTTTTTAAATTCATCATTTAAAACCGAAATCTAAGAAATATTTTCCGTTTTGGATCCAAATTCCTGAACTCAGGAAGAAAAGTAAATTTATTTTAATTCAGGATATATTGAAATATAATGAGGAAATGAATAAGAAACATAAACAAATGAAAGGTAAGTGTTAAAAAGTTAAAGGAGAGGAGAGTGCAATTTTGAAGTTACATAATCGATGCACAACGGTATCCTTTTATCACTTGGTTTTTCGGAAAAAAGGCACAGTTAGAGAAATACAAATGTTCAGACAGAAATATCATAGATTTGACAGTTGTGGTTTGGTTACGACTTTCAGGGGATATATTTTAATAGAACTAAATGAATCGATTAAGGGTAGGAAAAAAGAAAAATTTGACCCAAGCATTGTTCTGATTTTAGGTCATTTTCTCTCCCGTTTTTTTGAAGAAAGGTCAGTCGGGGATTTTCTCCTTCAGATAGAAAAATATTTATATAAGATAGGTCAAGGAAAAAATGAAAAATTTGACCTAAGCTGCTAGATTTAGAGGTATAATGATAATGTATAAACTACTTTGCATAAGATAAAATCGCACCCTGATCTCTAATAGTTCTCCTCAACTCAATTTAATTGAAATTTGTTGTTATCATTATTGAAATTAGGTGGAAAAAATTGCTGTAGTAATTGTAAACTCGTTCTGTATACAGATACATGTATTTTAGCAATAAACTTTATCTATCAATCTATCTATCTATCTATCTATCTATCTACCTCTGGGCATTCCTTCATTAAAGGGCCACTAAAAATTGCGGTAATAGTCCCTTTAACCAGTAACACAACTAAAAATTAAAATTAAATTTTTTTCAGATGAAGAATCCTCGACTGCTGATTGTGTAAAAAGTTTACAAGATATTGGAACTTTACTTCACAAACAAAAAGAATTTTTCAAACAAAAAGTAGCGGAGCTAGAGAAATTAAAAAGGTAAGTTGTCAATCGGGTTCTTCAAATCAATTTTCTGCTTAATCTGTTGATTTATTTCTATAAATTAATTTTGATATTTTTATTAAAAATTGGTTAGAGAAAATTTTTATTCTAAATCCTTTTTTGAAAATTTTATTTACTTTATTTATATTCTTCGCTGATATAATTTTAAAGTCTAGATTTTCTTTTAGAGTAAGTTATCGCAAGCAAAAAAATTCTTTAAGATTTGTATCACGCGCTTTATCCAATCATAAAATTTGGCATTTTCTGTTCTGTGAGAATTGCAAAACTAAGTGTACATTATGTTGTTTTATTGATTGATTGATTGATTGATTGACTGATTGATCTGTATTTGTCCAGGGACAACACGAACAGCAAGGATATGGAGAAGGCCGAGTCTAAAGTGAAGAAAGCCCAGGAGGACTACAGGGATCAACACATCAATAACTAATAAATTGATTATTTTTATCTTTTTAAGATGTATTATCTTTATTTTGATTAATAACTCGCTTTACCCATCAGCACCCCTTCTACTGAGATGTTAGCCTCAACTTAATTTCACCTCCTTAAATTTTTGAGCTTCCTCAATCCTGATTCACACTTTTCATTATCTGAAATCTGATTCACACTTCATTATCTGGAATCTTATTCACACTTTTCATTATCTGGAATCTGATTCACACTTTTCATTATCTGGAATCTAGATTCCGGTACAACACTTTCCGGATCCAAATCCGGATTTCAGTGAAATTTTTATCAAATAATCTTAAAATATATTGTTTTAGTAGCGTGTAAAGAACATGAAGAATAAGAAACAAACAAATTAACAAATTATTTGATTTAACTGCCTGATAGCTGATCTTGGTTGATGATGATATTTTTTATATTGTTGATCTGGTTGATACATATATATCTGATGTTGGTTAAAGTTGTTGATCTGGTTGATACATATTTATCTGATGTTGGTTGATATTGTTGATCTGGTTGATACATATATATCTGATGTTGGTTGATCTTGTTGATACATATTTATCTGATGTTGGTTGAGGTTGTTGATCTGGTTGATACATAAATATCTGATTTTGGTTGATGTTGTTGATCTGGTCTAGGAACCTGGTGGATAAGTATTCCAGTGTGCTCCAGGAGTTTGATAAGAAGATGGGAACATCCTGTAAACATTTCCAACAGGAACAGAACATTTATATTTTGTGATATTTATCATTTTCATGATTGGTTTACCACCCCCTTGATTCCGGTCTAGGGGTTCCAAAATGGGGATCTTTCATTATCACTGTTATTATTATTATTATTAATGAAGAACGAGAAAACAAATTTTTCAATTTAAAAATATTTCTTGTTCAAAAAATTTGGGGACCCTGCCGTCAACGGTTCTAAAAATATCGCAAATAAAGACAGAATAATCTTGATTCATCTTTGAACCTACAGTTACGATTGAGTTTAGACTTGATTTCCACAATTTCTTCAAAATAGATATTCCCTAGGTGGCATTTTCTGAAAATTTAGATTATATCTCAGAAGCCTGCATATTAATATTTTCCGAAAAATAAAATTAGGTGTTTTGACTTGAAACCTGGTGGTTCATTTTCAGCAGTGTACGCACCAAAGTCTTTGGGGACTGGGTGGTTCGTGCGCATCGTGATTGGTTATATTTGGCTTTAAGGAGCCCCCCCTGAAGATGCCATGGGGGGGGGGGTTATTTCGGATCTTATATTTATTACTTAATGCCAATTTTACAAGGCCAGTTTCACATGTGGGAATTTAAAAATTTCAAAGAAAACATATGTTAGTTGTTACGCTACTTGAATGTTCCAAAATTTGCTAGCAGCCTCGTTAAAACCTAATCTTACCTGGTATAAACGGTAAAATGCTTACCCCTTCACTGACAATGATACTTTAGAAAACATATCTGATAAATGTTAATTTTGACAAAGTTTATTTAACATAAGAGTTTTCCTCATAATAATGAAGTAAAAGTTTGGACAAGAAAAATATTAAAACATAGATGACTGTTTGTTAACCAGGCTGAGACATTATATTTAACACAAATGGCCGACTTTATGCAAACCTACTTGGAGTGTATTGATTCAACTCACAATGAAGTTGGAAAGGTAAATTTTTAAAGATTTAATAAATGGATTTTGTTTTATTGTTCTATTGTTTCGGTTTTACCTAGATACCATTTTTGGTAATAGAAAAGTGATTCTGTAACTGGACTTTTTTTGCAATTTATTCTTGACAATTTTAATCATATCATGGTTATCATAACTGTTATTAACATGTTTAAGGATTTAGACCTACTTTATATAGTCTGGCTAAAGGTTCAACGGGTTTATCACTCTCACAGAAAAAGATATTTTTTTGTTAGAATTGAATTTCTTCACATTTAGATTCCACATGAAATTATCGTTAGTTGTTCTAAAAAAAGCAGTTTATGTAAATAAATACATGGACATTTTTTTTCCAAAATCAATATAATTTGTTTTACTACATAATTTGTTTTACTCCGCGCAAACTTTCGTAATATGATTAAAAAATCAATAATTTTTGAAGAAGGTATGGGGAATATGGGGGGGGGGGAGGGGGGTTATAAAATTTTAATCTAGGTAATACTGATAAATATCTAGGTGAACCTTGAGCTTGAGCAGCATCTAGCTCATAACAGTGTGGAGAAGTTACTCGAGACTTTTGTGCTTCAAAAATACACAGGGCTAGAAAAACCAGGTATTAGCATTTAAATAATTGATCTTGTTCCAGCTTTCATTAGCTGATTGTTTATTTCATGCCTTAATTTGATTATTTATCTAGTTTCATGCTTCAATTTGATAATTTATCTGGTTTCATGCTTCAATTTGATAATTTATCTAGTTTCATGCTGGAATTGGATAATTTATCGAGTTTCATGCTTTAATTTGATAATTTATCTAGTTCATTGCTTTAATTTGATAATTTATCTAGTTTCATGCTTTAATTTGATAATTTATCTAGTTTCATGCTTGAATTTGATAATTTATCTAGTTTCATGCTTTAATTGGATAATTTATCGAGTTTCATGCTTTAATTTGATAATTTAGCTAGTTCATTGCTTTAATTTGATAATTTAGCTAGTTTCATGCTTTAATTTGATAATTTATCTAGTTTCGTGCTTGAATTTGATAATTTATCTAGTTTCATGCTTTAAATTGATAATTTATCTAGTTTCATGCTTGAATTTGATAATTTATCTAGTTTCATGCTTTAATTTGATAATTTATCTAGTTTCATGCTTTAATTTGATAATTTAGCTAGTTTCATGCTTTAATTTGATAATTTATCTAGTTTCATGCTTGAATTTGATAATTTATCTAGTTTCATGCTTTAATTTGATAATTTATCTAGTTTCATGCTTTAATTTGATAATTTAGCTAGTTTCATGCTTTAATTTGATAATTTATCGAGTTTCATGCTTTAATTTGATAATTTATCTGGTTTCATGCTTTAATTTGATAATTTTTCTGGTTTCATGCTTCAATTTGATAATTTATCTAGTTTCATGCTTGAATTTGATAATTTATCTAGTTCATTGCTTTAATTTGATAATTTATCTAGTTTCATGCTTAAATTTGATAATTTATTTAGTTTCATGCTTGAATTTGATAATTTATCTGGTTTCATGCTTGAATTTGATAATTTATCTGGTTTCATGCTTTAATTTGATAATTTATCTAGTTCATTGCTTTAATTTGATAATTTTTCTAGTTTCATGCTTGAATTTCATATTCATATTAATTCATGCTTTGATTAAATTATTGGTAGGATGTCGGCTGATAATAATAATAATAATAATTGATTTAATATTTTACTTAAATTGGATTATTAATTTAAAAATTCAGGTCCTATTGAGTTCAGTGAACTTCTTGCTACTGGAGGGCCCCCTTCAGATATATCAGACAGGTATGCTCCAACCCTGAATTTAGGATTTTAATTAAGATAAAGGACTTAATTTAAAGTGACTTTAGATTGGGCCATGGACTTGCCCTTAACAAATTGAAATAGTGGCTTGGTTGGGTCACTTGAAAATACATCGACACTCCCAATGTTAGTTCATTAAACCTCCAAGTGAAATTAATAAATATATCATTATACTGAAATTAATAAATATAAATATCATTATAGTGAAATTATTAAATATAAATATCATTATAACCTTATTTTTAGATCGGGAAATTCTGATAAAGTTTCTGTCAGCTCCTTACCTAAAAAGGAATCCAGTGGAGGTAAAAATAATGCATTTTTTCTTCTTTTCCTTTTCAAAAGTACATGCTGTAATAAAGGGGGTCTTCTTGACAGTTGATAGAGTGAATTAATATCAAATTATGATTCAATAGGGAATCATGTAATGTGTATTTTGAAATCCAATTACTAATTGTAATCAAATCAGAGAAGGGTCAAGATGACGGGTTTATTAAGGGTCATTTCACAGAAGAAGAAAAAAATGAAATAAACTCATGCCACTTGTCAACTGAATGTTGTTTCACAATTGTATATTAAATCACCCTGTAACCCTCCTTGCAAAATTTTTGTGTCACTTCACATTTTGGATAGAAAAATCAGATCTTAATGCTTGCCCTTGATGATTAAAAATATTCTTATGCACTCCATGATAACTCTTCTTTTATATTTTCCATATTCTTTTGATTCTCAGCATGTACAGTTCAGTCTCTTTCTCTAGCATAGTTCCATCATGTAGTTAGTTTGACTCTACGTAATCAAGATCAGTGATATCTACCCTTGCAGACATACCTGGGATTCTTTTCAAGTTTTAATGTTTACATGATTTTTACATTTTTCTTTTTTTAAGGTTTACATGTGAATTATTTTATGTGTAATTTTGCTTTATTGTAAGCAGGTTGTAATACAATTTTAAAATGGTAATACCAGTGCTCAGGATCCGGATCCGTTGGATCCGCAAGATTTTGGCTTCCTGGATCCGGATCCCCAAAAATATGCGGATCCACGGATCAGGATCCAAGGGGTAAAATATCAACCAAAAACCTGCAAGAAAAACTTATTTACTCTTTACTCCAAAAACCCAAATCTGAACTTTTGAAAAAAAGAGAGATTATAAAAATTTCCTCATTTCTGAATGGTTTAACAAGTTTTAGGATGAAAATAAGCGAAAAAAATAAAACAAAAAATTTGAAAATTATTTTTTGTTAAAAAAATTCAGTAAATCTTAAAGAATGACCTGGATCCGGATCCGTTTTTTTCCAGTGCGGATCTAGGATCCGGATGCGGATTCGGATCCGAATCAAAATTAAATGGATCCTAAGCACTGTATACTACAATTGTATTAAGTTTGGTTTCATCAAGCATTTGAAGCTGGAAAGTCTGGTTTTAACCCATAAATTTGTTCTTGATGTCATCTTTAAATTGATGCTGTTTTGACTAATCACAGCATGGGAAAACAAAAGCATAAATGGTTGATTGAAAGCAACCAATAAGAGACATATCTCATATCTCACAAATTATTCAATTTTTATACTACATGCTTTGGTGTTATGAAGCACAGGTGTCTCACTGGGTATTTCAAGTGCATGGTCTGCACCTCCTCTTGCTACTAGGTTGTCCTGTAGAACTGGTGTTAGAGACGGACGACGGAGTTCAAGATCTTCCTAATACCTCTTTACCCCTGGGGGAACTCCCCTCCCCGGGGGGTAACCCCTCCCCCGCATCCCTTCCTAGTCAAAAGGTTGAGAATGATAGGTCTCCGTATGCTAGTCTGGCAAACTGGAGTGTACCAGGTGAAGGGACCTAGAGTAACAATTAACAATTAAAGAGAGTGTACTGGATTTACATTAGGGGGTAGAAGGTGAATCAGAATTAAAATACCAGAGGCCAAATTTATAGATTTTAAACTTTAGTTGCTGAACCGCCATAAACCGGTTCCAAATGAGCGCCGGCTCAAATCTCGAAACAATGAATACAGTTTTAAGTGGAACCAACCATGTTTGAGCCGCATTTCTAATTTGATTAAATTGATTAAATTCGGCCTTAGTTGATTTAAATGAAACTTTTGAAGACGACCTTTTCACAGCAGGTCTTCCTAATTCTTGCTCTGCACAATTTGACTGCTTCACTTGGTTGATGTAGTTTTTCTCAAATATATTGAAGACATGTTGGAACTTCCACCATCAAGATTGGTCAAATAAACTTTAATTTTAATCATGACTTTGCCTCTACCCCTTTTTAGAATTTATTCACACACTTGTTAAAGAATACCTTAAGCATACACAATAGAATCGCCATTTTGTCAACAACAAAATAATGACCGATTTTTGGTAACCCTATCAAAGAATCTACCATAATATCAAGTTTACTTTATCAAATCATGGTCATTAGTTTTAGTTGATAAATACACAGGGTATTTTCTGAAGGTGTATGGTGTTTGTTGATTGAAAAATCTTTCTAAGTTGTTAAACTACTATAGATTTGAACAGCTTTAAACTACTATAGATTTGAACAGCTTTAAACACTTAATTTAGAAAAGCACTTTTCAAAAGCTAGCAAATATCAGAGGTACAAAAAATCACCCCCATTTGGCCTATTTAAAGAAGTCCACTTATCTCTCTTTACATTTTTTCTTTGGACAATTATTCAAAGGTTTTTCTTCATTATCATTTGTAATAACCAAGAGTTGACGCTAACAAGTAACAATAAACCTCACCTGAGTTAACATATCACTCACCTGAGTTAACGTATCACTCACTTTAGCTAACATATCCCTAGAGTAGAATTAGGACTTTTTCAACCCTTAAAATTTTTGATTTAAGATTTTTTTTAAGTAAAAGCAGTAATTTTAGGTAATTTTTTATGATAATCTTTTTAATGATGGTGACAAACCACAAATAAGAATTTTTTGTGGTGTCAGTAGTATTATATTTTAGAATTTTTTTTCTGTGTGTTATACCGCAATTGTGTTACTCATTAAAGTGAGTGACCGGCAATGTATGGTGGTTGAACTGAGAATGTAGTATTGTGGAGAAATTTCTAGGATTCATTTGAGACATATTAAACGTTTTAATTATGTATAATTACTGAGTTTGAGCGCATAGTCGACGTTCAAAATCATCCATTTGGGTTGTTACGTTTCGAGAATCAAATTTTAAAGTTATTAAATAACAACGGCGAAGAATGTATAGAAAATTCTACAGTTAACTAATTAGATGTTAAGGAACATATTTCTCAGAAGAAATTTGTGAATAAATCAATGTTAGAATCAATTATTTCTTTTTCATCATTATATTGAATTTCTTATTCTTTACGAATTTGTTCGCAGATTTCTACAAATTCTTCAAATGTCGTCTTTTCAATAAAAATTCCGGAAGATCTACAGAAAATGTTTGTCAACAATGAGAGATTAAAGAAACTAATAACTGAATTAGATTACTTATTTTCGATGCTAAGAGTTAATTTTTATTTTCTCAACCTGTTCCTAAACAACTTATTAATTTAAAAAAAATTTATTTTCAAAACATAGGCATCCAAATGGATGATTTTGAAAGTCGACTTTGCACTCAAACACAGAAATCATGCATCATTAAAACGTTTTATGTGTCTCAAATTAATCCTAAAAAATTTCTCCACAATACTACATTCTCAGTTCAATCACCATACATCGCCGGTCACTCCCTTTAAGGGCTTTTTTAAAGTAATAGATAATAGATTATATGTGATATATGAGCATGGATCATGTAATTAATACATATGTATTGGTAAACATAGGTACAAATCAGAAATATCTTCGAGAATTGTCTTAGTGTGTGTGCAATTTTGAATTTAGACCCTGATGTAGAAACTAAAATTATTCACTCTCCAGTTTATTTTTTTATTTTTAATCTTATTAATTGGATACAGTTGATAAAGAAAAGTTTTGATTTGATTCTTCTTCTTGTCATCGTTTCTCTCCTTTTTTCTTTTCCTTCTGTTGACTGTCCCTGATTCTGATTCTGCTCAATTGTAATTGTCTCTTCTAAGCGGAAATGCTCGAACCATTTTTATTTAAAAGAATGTATCTAGAATCAATAAAAAATCTTTGCATTTCCTTAAAAAAAATCTGGTTGATCAATAAATTTTTAGTTAGATAATTAAAGATATCTGCATCTTTTATGGCTAGAAATAGGGCTAGGCACGTTCACACTTTTTTCCAGCTGTTTGTCAAGGTTAAGTAAAAAATAGCTAACAAGTATGGGTATTAACTTACCAGGCAGCCGTGAACGGTCATTTTGTTTGTTAATAATTTTAAAATTAACAGTTTTTGAAGTTCGTTAACGAAACTCTGTCTTTGCTAATTCCTGGATAGAACTAAGATTTAAGAAAAACTACTGTAAAAAATAATGGAGGTTTTAATCAAAGAGATGTTTTTATATTGAAGAAATCATGACGAATATTTTACAACTGGATTTGAGGATTTGAAACCAGAAGAAATTGATTTCAATAATCTTAGCCAAGAACTTATTTCCAATTATTAAAGAAGTTTGTAGGAAAATTTAGAATAGAATACAGTAGAGTTTGTTCAGTATTAACTTCTGCATCTATATATAAATTTGGCTTGTCTGTCTGTCTGTTTGTATCCAATAAACGTCAAAACGGCTGAACCGATCGGGCCCAAATTTTTTGTGGGACATCTAGGGACCCCAGGGAAGGTTTATGAATGATTGAAATTTTAAATATTTGTCTCCATCAAAATTCGATCGTCATTAAATTTTTTAAAATTTTGAAAATCCACGAAATTTTTTGTGAAAATCCGCGAATTATTTTTGTTTTGTTTTACGATGTACAAAAAGAGAACATGTTCACAATTAATTTAGAAGATGGGCGCGAAGCGCCCTCTAAGGCTAGTGCTTTTAAATTATTCCACTGTGTTATTTCTTTGCATGCCAAATATAATATTCTTTAGCATGCTAAATATACTATTGTTCTGCATGCTAGATATACTATTGTTCTGCATGCTAGATATACTATTGCACATATAAAATATACATGAATTCACAGCATGATATATCAATTAACAAATAACCCTGTTTTTATCGCTACATTACCTGTTAAGGACTAGACATTAGACAGTAAAAAAAACAAGACATGAACATGACTTCTTATGGGATTTTTAAAGACTAAAAATGTGCATTGTACATCGCATCATATTTGTATAAAAATCTAATCGTATTTTTTTAAGTGTTAAAGCTTACTTGTAAAAGACAGATATCTACTCCTATTTATAGTAGACCTAACAAACATCCGATCTTCTTAATAGACCAAATATCCAATTTTATTAATGATCGAGCAAATATCCAATTTTATTAATTATAGACCAAATCTCCAATTTTATTAATGATAGACGAAATATCCAATCCTTTTCATAATAAGCCAAATATCCAATCCTTTTCATAATAAACTAAATATCCAATCCTTTTCATAATAAACCAAATATCCAATCAGACGAGGCTGTGTCCCCAACCTCCAGCACTTCACTCTGCCCGCCTGGCCGGCGGATCCTGTAGATCCTGATGATACCGACGATATGGCACCGCCTTCGGAGCCCGCCCCTGCTCCTCCCTCAGGCAGCCCGCCCCCTGTTCCTTCTTCTTTACCGCCCTCTGTCTCTGGTGAGCAACCACCTTGGTCAGATGCAGCGTGGACGGAAAATTCGAAAAAGGTGATTTTTTATTTACCAAGTTTGTGGATTTATTGTCCTAAACTTACAATCTACATACAGGGGAATATAATTTCAAGAATTACCCTCCCCCTGGCGGGAAACTACAAAAAATTGAACACTAAAAAGCAAGTTTTTTATTCTTGTTGACACTTTTTACCCAAAAATAATAGCAAGTATTAGTGAACATCGCTCAGAATTAAAAATAGTTTTTTTGTAAGATTCTGTATTCATAAATATCTTTGGTACAATCCACAGTAGACTAGGAAAACGATCGTGCATTGTGCAGTTTACACAGACAAATTTTACTTAATAAATTAATTTTCCAACAACTGGCAAACTATTTGCTTTTAAACAGTTTAACCGACTATATGCGCTAATGAAGGCGATGAGGTCGGGTAAATAATTCTGGATTTCAAATGTTCAACATCATTTTGCCGGAGACAAAATGTTTGCTGGGACAATAAGATTCTGAAATGTCGTCTTCATAATCAAGGGTTTTATTGTTTTTCTTGTAAAAAGGTCAATGAATTGGTTTTTGATAATTTTTCTCTTCAGGAGGAAATATCCTGGGCTACTGCGTGGGAGGAGCCGGTACAGCCCGCCCTTCCACCCAAACAGAATGCCCGCCCCGCCTCTGTTCAACGGGAGAAGATAGCCAGCAGTTTAATATCATTACCTAGACCTCCTTCACGGGCACGCCCAGAACCTAGGTAATAGACCAAATATCCAATCCTATTTATAATAGTCGAAATATCCAATCCTATTTAGAAAAGACCAAATATCCAATTCCATTCAACATTGACCAAAATTTCAATTTTATTCATAATAGACTATATATCCAATTTATTTGTACATTACAATAGATTTGATATCCAGTCCTATAGATAGATATATAATCCTACACATAATAGTCCAAATGTCCAATTCAAATAAACATAATCAAATATCCAATCCCATACATAATATTAGACTTAATATCTATTAAAATTTACAAATAAAAAGGGACCAAAAATGATCAGCAAGAAGTAGTGGAACTACATTGACTTAGTTGAACCCATTCTCTAGATTTTTAATTTGCAAACAAAAGAAGGGGTTTAAATTAGTTTAAGTAGTTCAACAACTTCTGCTCAGTCATCAAATCTGGCCCCAGATATTCTGATATTCATTAAAACCAGACGTTCACTGACAAAGATATAATTTCAGCTAATAATTATCATTTTAATATTATTATTTTAAGATTAGATGTTAACTATTAAAAAGTAGTTTTTTTAGGGTTTTAGGAATTTAGACATTTTTTTAACAGTAATTCCAAATTTAATGGATTTGGTGTAGGAATCTTAAAAACTATGATTTTGTTTTTACAACTTCTGTTTTCAGGGTTTTTGAAAAGTCGGAAGAAGAAAGAACGAAGTAAGAAAGGGAAAAGTGGAAAAGAGGACGGAACAGAAAACGAAAATAAGGTCAGATTAATTCTCAAAATTTATTTTATAAATGAACTCAAAATTATTTTCATGTTTTAAAAAAAGGTTGTTTATATATTTGTGATTAGTGTGATTTATTTTATTTTATCCGAGTTCAACGGAATTTACCATTATCTCATAGAATTAATTATTGGTACTTCCATTTTACTGAAACAGTCCCTTTAAGCACTGCCTTAAACTTTTGTGTTTCAGGAGATAGGAAGTGATGGTGAGGAACGAAGACGAAGTGAAACCCCAACTCCTGATCAGGTCTATCTCAAACTTTAAGTTAACTGTAAAATCCGAATTGGTTAAAAGCGTTCTCTTTACGTAGAATACTTCAACGTAGGAAGTATAATTCGATGTTATATTGCATCACCATCAGTCCTAATAGGTTATTAAGTATTCGAATAGACAATTATAAAAATATTTGGAAAATTAAAAGATAATATATTTATGAGAAAAGAAATTTAAAATATTATTAGTCAACCTTAAGATGGGAAACTTGTCTTAAACAGTTAAATATAACTAGATTATGAAGAGGAATGGGGGGAGGGAATTTCGAAACATGAATAGCTGACAGAAAGATCTGAAGATTGAAGGGACGGAGGGGGGGGGGGGGGCGGGTGTAGCCCCAAGAGATAATTAAGAAATTATTAAAAAGATGGGCAATTCATTAAAAAAAGGCAAGTTTGTTCCTCCTTTTTCATACTTTTTGCGCCAAAATTTCTTAATTTTAGCCGAAGAAAATTCATTTATTTTCCCGATTTAAGGGAATAGAACATTCCTAACTTCTGATGGAAAAATGATTTTTTAGGAAAAATATTCGTCCCTGTCATCTTTCCGTATCTAGTGTAAATACTTCTCGTCATTCATTAATTCTAACCTCTGATTTATTTAGACGGAAGAAGGATACAGTGAACCCCCGCCTGGACCAGTAGATACGGATCCATGGGCGGATTTTCATCAACCTCAGAAAAAAAAGTTTTATTCAGACTCAGATTCAGATTCAGGTCAGTTTTTTCTAAACCGTGCAAAAAGAAAAGCATTTTTAACTTTTCTAACCATTAAGTTATGCTGATTGAGATATGTGTTGGATTAATTTTTATCTGCATTTGGGGCGTACACAGGAATTCTTTGTGGGTTTATAATTTCTATTCCAGACAAAAGATTTTTCTTTTGACCACCCAACTATGCATTAACCTTCCCTTGGGTCAGGCGTGTTGCTACAAATAATGTTGGCCTGATCGGCTCAGTCGTTTTGACGTTTAATGATTACAGACAGACAGATAAACAAACCGGAGTCGGTCTGGGGATCCCACATTGGGGGTCTTCCACGATCTTTTTCATTTATTTATTTATTTATATATGATTTATTTAATTTTTTTATTTTAAAGGGACTGTAAAGGAAAAATGAAAGGGGGTATAGACTGAAAGCTGATCACTTTAGCTCTTGATCGCGACCCATGAAAGTTATATCTGATGTTCCTGTCTCGAGAAATTGATATAAAACTTTGTTAAAATTATACGAAAGTTCATATATATGTAAAATCTTAAACTTAAACCACGTGACCAGAACTATCACCAATGGCAGAGCAGTATACTGATCACGTGTCTCCGCGTGTATTTCGTGACCACTTTACTGGCCATTGGTGGAATTTCTGGTCAAGTAATACGGACGTATAAATAATATTATGAATGAAATCTATTAAAAATAGAAATAACAAATATAAAAGTAAACCTAATTTACAATTTACAATTTCTCCGGGATATCATCGTTTTCAGATTGGTTGCTTATTTGCTGAATTTGATCTTTTTAAACCTACTACTTTTATACAAAATTGTATATATATTAATTTTCGTATAAATTTGACAAAGTTGTATATCAATTTCTCGAGATAGGAACATCAGATATGACTTTCATGGGTTGCAATCAAGAGCTAAAGTGATTAGCTTTCAGCCTATACCCCTTTTCATTTTTCCTTTACAGTCCCTTTAAAATAATTATGTTTTATCACTGTTGGATAGGGTTTCCAATACTTGCGTGCAAGTGACTTTAATTGCTCGCAACTCCGTAATATTTGCGCGCAATAAACACAACGGAATTGCGTTGGTGTTTCAAGTTTTTGATAATATTCAATTTAAACCTTATGGCACGCAATAAATGCAATTAATTATCGCGCAATTCCTTTAAACAACAAAAAATTCACAATGAAATTGCGCAAGCGAAAGCATCAATTACGCGCAATTCCGCGCAACGGAATTCCGATTGGAACCCCTACTTTTAGATGATGAGATAAAGAAAATTAAAATAAAGATTCGCCCAGTAACAGCCCAGAATAGGTTAGTTAATTTTATTGATTTTCCTTTCATAGATTTATGACATTAGTTAGTCATTCATTTTTCTTTCATCCTTCCACTTATTCATCTTTTATACATTCTTTTATACATTCTTTTATACATTCTTTTATACATTCTTTTATACATTCTTCTATACATTCTTTATACATTCTTTTATACATTTTCTTTTATACATTCTTTTATACATTCTTCTATACATTCGTTTATACATTCTTTTATACATTCTTTTATACATTCTTTTAAATATTCTTCTATACTTTCTTTATACATTCTTTTATACATTCTTTTATACATTCTTTTATACATTCTTTTAAACATTCTTTTATACATTCTTTATACATTCTTTTATACATTCTTTAATACATTCTTTTATACATTCTTTTATACATTCTTCTATACATTCTTTAATGCATTCTTTTATACATTCTTTTATACATTCTTTAATACATTCTTTATACATTCTTTTATACATTCTTTTATACATTCTTTTATACATTTTTTATACATTCTTTTATAAATTCATTCTTTCATTCATACTTATTTTAATTCTTTCCAACTTTTATTCATTCATTTACTCATTCATCCTTTCATTCATTTATTCACTTATCCTTTCAATATTACTATCGATGTTAAATTAATAACGACAAAATGTCAAATCGATTGACTGATGAATTGGCTGATTGATTGATTGATATATCGACTTTTGGATGACTGATTGATTGAATAAAGTTTAACTTTATTTTCTCTCTCCAGATCTGCGACTTCAGCTAGCGTGGATGAATTACAGAAAGCTATTGGGGGAATAGATCTGATGGTGGCGACACTACCGGTAGGTTTTAAAACTAATGTGTCAGGGGTACATATTTCTTGTAAAATAATTCCCCACCCCCCTCGGGAAAAAATTAGTTGTTTTCCAGAAAATGAATTCAGAAAGTATCAGAAAGCTTGACATTGATGTCCAATTTTTCATTTTTCTCCATAAGCATCAGAAATCAAATAGGGGAGGGAGGTATTCTTGAAAACATATACTCCTGTAGTAAATTAATAATAATTAATTTTCAATGAGGAGCAAACACAGTTTACTGTAAAATAGGGGGTATATCTAGTATAGTATAGTCTGGGAGACGTTGGGTTCCTTTTCAGATTTAAACTTGATTTGATTTGATCTGAATACAGCTATTTAAAGGAAAATAAGTATTCAACACAAGATTTGAATATTTTTTTATATATATTATATATATCCAGGGAAATATAGCTGGCAAAACGGCTGGACCAAATGGAGATTAATAATAATTATAATTGTGGTCCAGCAGAAATATTCTTCTCATTTTATCTTTATCTCAAGACAAAGGGAAGATCGAAGAGTGTGATGAAAGAAATGATCGGTAGTCATACTCTCAAGTACAAGGTCTTATTAACTGTTTAACATTCATCAATCAATCAATCAAACAATCTAACAATTGTTTAATTAAAATTTGATTGGTTGATCTAATCAATCTGTTCTGTGTTAGATTAATCCAACATAATTTTCTTTCCTCACTGATTTCTAAATAACTTTTTTTCTAATGCTTATTTATTTTTTTTGTAGTTATTAACCATTAACCAAAGTTTGTTTTTAATTTCTGTTTTTCATCTAATTTAAATTTAATTATCCACCACCCTTCTCCCTTCTTATTCTTGGGAAAGGAAAACAGAGTTGTAATGTTTTAGCTTTAATGTTAAATCAGATTTACAAATATATTCTGATAAAAAAAAAAATTGACGTACGACGGATGTCCACAATTTTTGCATACTTTAAGTAGTGTACTAGGACACAAATGTTAAATTTTATTCAGTTTTAAATCGGTTAAAAATTATTACAATTGTCTTGGGGTTCCACAATTGCTGCTCTTTTTGATCTTACAAGTTTTTGTGTATAGTTTATCCATCAGAGAAATCTTGAGAGTGGTAAAAAGGTTTTTTTTTATCCCAAGAAAAATTCTTTAAGTGTACCTGAACCCCTGCATGTACAATTAAAACCACAGTTTTTATAGAATGTGAATTGTACATACGTTACACATACACCATGTACAAGTTATCAGCTCAGCTTTACATAGAATGTACATTGTTCATACATACAGTATACTCCATGTACAATGTACTAGGGTGACACAGGAAGATGAAAAAAAAATAAAAGTTGGGTGGATAGGTTGTTTGGGTGATGTGGCATTATGGCTGCATTTTGACAAAATTTTGGTAGGATAGGACCATTGCATCAGGTGGAAACAGTTTCTGCTTTTTTCAGAAAATTTCTTGATTTTGACGAGTCTGAACAAAAACATGATGAATATTTATAAAACTTGTGCTGATAGAGAAATTAACAAAAATGGGACCAAATAAAAAGGGGAAAACTGATCTTCATCCACTCCGTGTCATGAATTACAGTCAAAGAAGACCACTTTATTTGATGAAATCCCCTCTGTCAAACGTCAGTTCAAGTAAACTGCCAACTAATGGAACAGTTCTTAGGTACTTCCAGTATGTAATCAGCGGCAAAAGTGTCAGGTTTAAATCTACAAGTAACAACTTTTCCTGTTCCATGGCTAGGAATACATCTGACATGATCTGTAAATATTCTGATGGACCCTGCAATGAAGTTACTGGAGAAGAATGTGTGCTTAGGAAGATTGTAAACATCTGGGTATCTTGCGGATTTGGAAGTTAAATCATCACAGAGCAGTCGATTAAGATTAAGTTTGAGAAATTACACAAACATTGGAATAATCTCAGCAAGGTACAAAATATTCTGAAGAAGAGAACAACCAAGCCAGCACATGAAGTTAATATTCAAAAGTTTAAGGATATGAAGAATGGGTTTTTTGATATTGCCTCTCCCAACTATGAACAAATGCTGAGAAATGATAAGCCTATGCAAAGATCCAAGGAGAGTATCATGGAGGATATGCAGTTTTTTCAGGATCAAAGATCTGCTGGGAAAATGGGGATGAGCCATCAATGTGATATGGAGCTTGAGGAAGTTATCAAGAGAAGAACTGAGAAGTATAGGAGGCATGATGAGTATAGAAAGAAGATTGCTGCTGAAGGTTTCTGTGATCCGTTCCCAGATGAAGCCAATGATATCTTATATGATCCTGCCCCAGTTAATAAAGGTTTGTCACTGCAAGAAGCAAAGTCACCATTCGATGATGATGATAGTGATGATTCTGACATCAATGATCATAATGAAACCCAAACATTTGTATCAGAAGTCAACCTAGCAGGTCCTTCAAATACATCTATTTCAAGTACATATATTAAAATTTGCATTACATATTTTTTTTTTAAAATACCAATCTTATCAGAATTACATTTGGTAAGCTGCAAACCCAACTTTTAAACTATTTGAAATGTTTTCTTTATCTTCAATTTTAAATAGGTTTAAATGAGACTTCCAGAAAGATAAGAATTGAGAAAGGTTCAACTCTAGTTACAGTTGAGAAAGATATCTCACTAGAAGGACTAGTGGAGGCAACAACTTCCCTCAGCGTAAGAAGTGGGCTAAGCTATAGAGACCAAACAATGTTTTTTGCAGCAATAGTAAATTATCTTGATATCCCTCTCAAACAAGTTGGTCTAAACAGAGAGACTGTGAGAAGAAAGCGACTTGAAATTGTTCAAAGAGAAGGCGTGGGTATTAGGTCTGACTATATGAAAGAAATGGCCGGTAAACATTTAGTTCTACAGTGAGAAAAGTCAAGGTTTTTCAAAAACTGTTTCCACCTAAGAGAATAAAGTTAGAACCATAAATTTTTTTGGATTTCACCACTAAGGTTAGACATAACACATAGAACCTATCCACCTTTTGATTTTTTGATTTTTGATTTTTTGGTGATCTTCCTGTGTCACCCTAATGTACATGGTACAAATAATCAGCTCAGCTTTATATAGAATGTACATTGTATACTTATGTATAGTGTACAAACAGTTTTGCATGTTTTCAGTTTTTGTTGTAGTCCATTGTACTTACAATTTACAATAATATAATAATTCTGTTTTAAACAGTAAGAACCATAAAGTTGTGGAAAAGGATGACAACATGTTAACAATGTTATGTGCAAATAGTTAAACTAGAAGCTTGAAAATCTTTTTAAAACTAAATATTTTTTATTTTCGTGAACATATTTAATTTTACAATATTATACATATATTGTTAAAGAGTTTACACGAAAAAAGCATTTACAATATAGGGTTTGCTATAATGTGTTTATAGCTAGTGTTACAGTTGAACTATTTAAGATATTAAACTCTGTGTGTCTCATTACACAGAGACGTTTTACATCATGGAATGCCAACCAAAATTATTTTTTTTTATTGGGTTCCTTTAAATCCGTAAAAAATCAATAGTGAACATAGTGAATTCCGAGATCAGTCTGTAATTTCGATAAGCTGAGTTGCTATGAACACTGATCAGGGTTGTATAATTTTAAGAACGTTGGGATTCTAGTTAATCCAAACAGTTAAAGAGAACAATCCGAGTTAAAACCCGAAAATTAACAAATATTCGCTGAAATATGAATGCGAGGAAGGCTAACACTGAGGGTAACCTCTCGCATACAGTTGACCGATTTTAGATCAGAATGGTAGAGATAGATTTTCAGGTAGTGTTTGGCCCTCCTTTCAGTCCTTAATTGTCTTCATATCCTTGCAGCCGGGTGCGAAGCTTGAAAATCAACTTATTAAGTGAAGTTGGTCTGTGTTCACTGCACAATTTCAGTTGCAGGGAATATCTAAAATCATAAGTTCAGTCTTGAACAGTCGTCCTTTTCCACACTATTTTAACAGACAATATTTTAGAAAAAATTACGAAAAAATAAAATCCAACAAATTTGATTGTTTGTTGCCACTAAACTACCAAAACGTTAAAGGCTATGATTTTGTTTAGAAACGAATGACCCCAACAGTAGATTTTGATGGCGGAGTGAAGAGATCTCAATCGAGTAATCTTGTTTCCAAACATTCTCACGACCTTCTGGGACTCTTCAATACACAGGATCCAGGTGAACCCATTGTGCAAGTACCTAAGGGATTGTCCAAATGTCTGATTTGCAATGGTTTCTTTAAAATTGATACTTACTTGATAATTGAGAGGTTATTCTTCATATTCTGTCAATGTTGAGAACATCTTGATTTCTTCATGTGTGGTCTTCTATAGATCAGATGTAGCTTAAGTTTTTTTCATATCAACAAGCACTCCATTCTCAATGATTCTTATCATACAGTTGTTTAAACTGTAGTGGAATTTTGCATGTTTAACATCATGAGTCCATAAGTCAATAACTCGGTGTGAGAAAAAATTCTTCCTAATCTGGAGATGAAGATATCCTATTTATTTTTAATTTTCCATGGCGGATCTATGCAGTGAATTCAGGTTTGCCATAAGTTTTATTTTCTAATGACCCTCCTTGACTATAATAATGATTATAATAATGATTATAATAATAGTGAGTGATATGAGCGGAGAACCCCCTGGAGCTATTTTCTAATGACCCTCCTTGACTATAATAATGATTATAATAATAGTGAGTGATATGAGCGGAGAACCCCCTGGAGCAGAGTCCACTAGACTAGACACCAGCAATAATAGTAACGAGGTAAATTCAAATTATAAAATACAAATATTAAAGAAAAATTTGTTGAGTTATTGATTGATTTATTACTTGGTTAATTGATTTATACTTCATACATTTATGACTTTCATGTTGAATCCTATAAATCCAGGTAGGATGATACCAGGAGATTTAGTGTGGTATTTTGTATTAATTGATTGATAGTTTGATTCATTGATTGATTAGGTGTCCTCTATCCTGCATGATATTCATGATCTGAACGCGGCCTCTAAAGACGAGGCTGTGTCCCCAACCTCCAGCACTTCACGTGACCCGCCTGTCCGCCCCGCCCCCTAGATCCTGATGATACCGACGATATGGCACCGCCTTCGGAGCCCGCCCCTGCTCCTCCCTCAGGCAGCCCGCCCCCTGTTCCTTCTTCTTTACCGCCCTCTGTCTCTGGTGAGCAACCACCTTGGTCAGATGCAGCGTGGACGGAAAATTCGAAAAAGGTGATTTTTTATTTACCAAGTTTGTGGATTTATTGTCCTAAACTTACAATCTACATACAGGGGAATATAATTTCAAGAATTACCCTCCCCCTGGCGGGAAACTACAAAAAATTGAACACTAAAAAGCAAGTTTTTTATTCTTGTTGACACTTTTTACCCAAAAATAATAGCAAGTATTAGTGAACATCGCTCAGAATTAAAAATAGTTTTTTTGTAAGATTCTGTATTCATAAATATCTTTGGTACAATCCACAGTAGACTAGGAAAACGATCGTGCATTGTGCAGTTTACACAGACAAATTTTACTTAATAAATTAATTTTCCAACAACTGGCAAACTATTTGCTTTTAAACAGTTTAACCGACTATATGCGCTAATGAAGGCGATGAGGTCGGGTAAATAATTCTGGATTTCAAATGTTCAACATCATTTTGCCGGAGACAAAATGTTTGCTGGGACAATAAGATTCTGAAATGTCGTCTTCATAATCAAGGGTTTTATTGTTTTTCTTGTAAAAAGGTCAATGAATTGGTTTTTGATAATTTTTCTCTTCAGGAGGAAATATCCTGGGCTACTGCGTGGGAGGAGCCGGTACAGCCCGCCCTTCCACCCAAACAGAATGCCCGCCCCGCCTCTGTTCAACGGGAGAAGATAGCCAGCAGTTTAATATCATTACCTAGACCTCCTTCACGGGCACGCCCAGAACCTAGGTAATCCCCCTCCCCTCCCCACCTAAACCTCCTTCACGGGCCCGACCTGAACCTAGGTAATGCCCCTCCCGCCCCTAGACCTCCTTAATGGGCCCGACCTGAACCTAGGTAATCCCCCCCCCCTTCCCCACCTAAACCTCCTTCACGGGCCTGGCCTGAACTTATGTTATCCCCCTCTCGCCCCCAGACCTTCTTTACGGGTCCGACCTGAACCTAGGTTTTTTCAATTAGGAAGCGGGGGAATTAATAAAAAATATAAATTTTTTTCCTAAAATTAAATATTTTCTATAAGATAACCTCGTATTTAGATTACGGGGAACCCCATCACCTACTCCTACATCCTTCTTGCAAACCACAGCTCTCTCCCTGGCAAGGAGTGATAGTATAGGTATGTAATCCCGGGTATCCTTCCTAATTGAATGGCATGTCCGATTTACAATGGTACCTCTTAAAAACGTTGTATGAGAATTATTAAGAAAGAATAAAATATAATTTTTGATTATTGTCATTGGTTCTTTCTTTTTAAACATGTCTTTTCGCATTTCTTCTTGATAAACAATGAAAGAAAAATGTCACAATTAAACATCTCAATCTAGAAAAACGGATTTATGTTCCACAATATTGATCTGATAAAGATATAAAGGGTACCTCAGTGAATCCGGCATTCCCCTCAGTAAATGTGTGATTACTGATAATATCAGAGACAGTTCCTTAAAACGCGAAAAATATTAATAATTAATTAATTAAATTTAAAAAATTAAATTTCATTAATTTTAATTTTTTTTGAAATTAAATAAGTGTTCTATGAATCTTGTAGTAGTCTGATTTCATTTTATTTGATTTACAGCCTTGCCACTCATAGGATTGATTTGATTTGATTTTCAACCTTGCCACTAATAGGATCCACTGGAAGTGATGGTAAATCAAGTGGACGAAGTGGAAATGATTCATTTTCATCCAAGTTCCTTGAATCAAAATACAGGAGTGATAGTTTAGGTAAGACTCGGAGATGATAACATATTTTCTTGTCCCCCCCCCCCCAGTCGAAAAAGATTTACATTTTTAGTTTTAATATATGATGGGGAGGGAAATTATTTTCAAAGATGGGGTTAAAAATAAAAACTTATGACTCAAATAAAAAAATAACCCACCCCTTTTTGATGCTTATTTCCCAAAAAATGTCATCCATTTTCCCCAAAAAAATCATTTATTTTCCTTAACCTCACAGAAAACATTCCTGATTTATAGTAAAAAAAGACAATCTTATATTTTTTTATAGAAATTATAATTTGCAAGTTGAAATGCCGCCCGTGGAATTTTATAAAACTTTGGGGGGAAAATTTCGAATTTAGAAAAATATTATTTTCAGGATACCATTACCCGTACCTTATGGGTTGCATCAAAAGTTATCCAATTTGGTCCCGATGTTTTGCCGGCCATAACTAACATATATATGAGTAGAGAGCTGTTCATAAAAGATTATCGTTTTTGAGCATTTAATTATTTAGCGTTTCATGAAATTCATGAAAAAAGATCCCATTCTCTAAAACGCTAGAATTATAAAAGAAATAAATAAATAATCATAAATGTATTCAGGTTCTAAATCAGACAGTTTTTCAAGATTTGAGACTGAAGGATTAAAGACTGGTAGATCAGGCCCCATCATGCCCATTCCTAGTTCAGAAAGTCCACGCCGGGCGGACTCGGCCACACCCCCTTCCGGTCCCGCCCCTGTCCTTCACTCCTTCGCCACCAGTCGGGGTCCTTCCCCCCTCACACTGGGCGGGGCAGAGGTGGTTCCTCTAGCTGTTGCATTTCAGGTCATATTATTAAAGAGACTGCACGCGAATGCAAAGATTGCTATGCCCGATTCACAACGGTACCCTTTAAACCTTTATCCGATCAATAATGTGGAAATTATTGTCGCTTTTGTAAAAAAAAATCGGTTTTCTTAAATTATATATATTAAAATCAAATTAATACTTGATCAGACAAAAGAGAGAGTCAACCCAGACCGAAATATATTTTCAACAAATGTGGAACTAACATCCACTTTTTTACTCTACGGAGGTTTGGTCCATCACAACCACCGAATTTTAGATCAGACAACCGTTTGAAGGGAAACATAGTGAATCGGACATATGCCACCTGAAATTACGCCTGAATCCCCTTTAAATTATTGTTTTAAGGCGATCTTCTTCATTCTTGAATTAGAGTTATTTTCTAGGAGGTGGTACACGCGGCGTTTAGGGGAAGAGATGAATCCAGGTAAAAACATTTTAAATTTTTTATTGTCAACTATTAAGATTAAACATTATTATTATCACATTTTTTGATTGGTTTAGTGCAACAGTTATGTTCACCTATTCTTGTCCCAATCCTAAGAAGTTCATAACCATTTTATGAACACAGTCCAAATCCTAAGCAGCTCATAACCATTTCATGAACATAGTCACAATCCTAAGCAGTTAGCAGTTCATAACCATTTTATGAACACAGTCCCAATCCTAAGCAGTTCATAACCATTTTATGAACACAGTCTCTAAATCCATTTATTTACTTGGTTCGTTTATCCATTTTCTGAAAACAGATCCTTGCTTCCCAACATTTATAAAATCCTTTTTTTTATCCCTCTTATTTTTTATCTAGACACGATAAGAAAACAAAGCCTTTAAGTTCTGCAGATCGGCCACACGAAACATTAATTTCCATTATTATTTGGCCTGACTTTGTTATTTTTTTTTTGTAATTTTACTTCTTCTGTTATTTGAGTTTAGTTCTGTTTACACTGTGTCTGAGAAAACAGATATCCTTTTTTTCTATTGTTAACTTATACATCAGGTTAAAAAGTACCCTCGTTAATCCTACACGTAATTCTAGATGCATCACCTGAATCAAAACATGAATTGTTCAGGTGTTTAGTAAAGCAACTAGGAGACATGATGCTATCCTTCCCTGCTGGTATAGTAGCAGTACTAGCTTCTAATCCATACCCAGCTCCTCTTCAGTTTAGGTAATTCTAGACATGATGCTCGCTTACCCTTACCTTTATCCTTACCAAGACCTTTATCCTTACCCTGACCTTTATCTTTACCATGACTTTTATCCATACCCTGACCTTTATACTTACCCTGGCCTTTATCCTTACCCAGACCTTTATCCTTACCCTGACCTTTATTCTTACCCTGACCTTTATCCTTACCATGACCTTTATCCTTACCATGACCTTTATCCTTACCCTGACCTTTATCCTTATNGCCTTTATCCTTACCCTGACTTTATCCTTACCATGACCTTTATCCTTTTTACGACATTTATCCTTACCCTGGCCTTTATCCTTACCCTGACTTTATCCTTACCATGATCTTTATCCTTTTTACGACATTTATCCTTACCATGACCTTTATTCTTACCCTGACCTTTATCCTTACCCTGACCTTTATCCTTACCATGACCTTTATCCTTACCCTGACCTTTATCCTTATTACGACATTTATCCTTACCATGACCTTTATACTTACCATGACCTTTATTCTTACCAGAATCTTTACCTATCACCTGTGCACTGTTTTAAACTTGGTTTTGACCTTTCCTTGATCTTCACATTGATCTTGGGCAATATCTTGACATTGATCTTTCCTCAATCTTAATCTTGACTTTCACCTTTCCTTGATCTAAACCTTGATCTTAGGAAATATCTTGACCTTGATCTTACTTCAAACTTAATCTTGATCTTACCTCAATCTTAATCTTGACCTTGACCTTTTCTTGATCTTAACCTTAATCTTAGGCCCAATCTTGAACTTGACCTTACTTCAAACTTGACCTTGATCTTACGCCCAACTTGACCTTTACATGGACCTGGCAATGAGTTTTAAATTGACCTTGACCTTAACATTGACCTTGACCTTGACCTGGACCTGGACCTTAACTTTGACCTTGACCTTGACTTTGATCTTGACCTCGACTTTGACCTTGACCTCGAAGTTTACCTTGACCTCGACTTTGACCTTGAACTCGACGTTGACCTTGACGTTGACCTTGACCTTGACCTCGACTTTCACACTGACCTTGACATTGACCATCAATCCATTACCTTATCCCTGAATAGAATAAAGAATGCTGCTCGGCTTGAATCTGTTTTACCGAACAAGCAGTTGATTAGCAAGGTGCAGAACCTCTCAACCATATCAACACTCGTCTTCGAGTTCAATATGACAAACCTCCAGGTTAACACTTTATCTTTTCATTTTAAATTTAATTTTTTCTTCTCTAATTGAAGTTTTTATTAAATTTTATATCTTTTTTTAAAGTTTATCTTAAAATTTGTTTGAAGATCCCGATAAAATTATTTAATATCCTGAATGTGAAAGGAAAACCCTCTTTTTAAAAATTTAATAGAAAATTTAGTGCAACAATAAGATAAACTAAACTGGCAATATAAACTATCTCTGACCACTTCCGAACAAGAATTCTATCCAATCCATTTGTACAACGGTATCCCTCAAAGCCTTAGCTGATCAAGTATGAATTAGAACTCCCTGTGTTCGTTGTTTTAAACTGTTTGTTTTCATCTGCGGGTTTCTCCTTAAGTGGCTTGCACATTTCTTGCTTTGAGTGAGAAAATTTTTTGATTATATTAAGGTTTCAAGGGTACTGTTGTATTTCTTTACATGGAGGGTCACTTGAATTAAGCTTTTAGTTCCTTTAAGTTTTTACGAATGCCCAATGATTAAATCATACTTTTGTAGGACCTGTTAAATAAACAATCTCAGATAAACCCTCATGCTAGTTATTTCAATATAGACATTCTTAAATATCAGGTAACTAAAGATTTGCATAATTTTAGAATTTTGATTTATCATTTCCAAACTTTTTTTCATCAGATTTCACCCTTGCCAGGCGCCGCTTCTTGTCCCTTCCAGGTTAGATTTTAAATACATTGTATATTGTTTTCAATATCTAATTTGATTCCAATTCTTTTTCTCTTTTTATTAATTCAACAGTTTCAAGAATTTCTTTTTTGCATTTTTTTACATGGAATTGTGCATATAGATTGTTTCCTACTGAAAGTACAGGGATAGGGGGGAAATTTTTGATTGAAATATATATCCCTGGTTTGTATAGATGGTTTCCTACTGGAAGTGTGAAGATGAGCATACAGACTTGAGGCTGGACTTCAAGTACAACCAGCACGCCATGGCCAGGTAAATTTAAATCAACGTTTAAAAATAGAATTAGTATGAAACCATTTCAAATCCAATTCTAAACTGAGCTCTGTAGCTCCCCACCAAGCATAATTTTCATAAATAAACCGCTATTTTCTTTTTAAGTTTTTGAAAATTATATTATACATTTCTGTCGAGCTTGTTCGCTAGTTTAATTTTTACATAAAATCTCGAGAAAATAAGTTGATCTGGATTTATTTGCGATCCATGATCCGGTGTTTTTGTATTTGTGCCAAAATGGATTTTAAGCACTTTATTTCAATGAACAGTTATAACAACTAGTTCAATTTTGCAAAAGTGAAAAAAACATTTTATAAATCTTGTAATAATGTTAATGTTTAGGCCAACTCCGTTACTGAATCTAACATTAGCAGTTCCAGTGGATGGAGGAGTTCAAAATATGACAAGTCAGCCTAAAGGAACCTGGTGAGAATATATACATGGTTGGTTGGTTGGTTGACGTCAGCTTGAATAGAGTTAAAAGCTTCAGGTCTAAATTAGAAGTGATTTAAATCCTCTTAATGATCCATTTCTCATTGCAAGAGAGGGGTTTTGACGGATCAGAGACCAATCGGTTAGAGCATGGTTGATTGAGGGTGTTTTGACGGATCAGAGACCAATTGGTTAGAGCATGGTTGATTGAGGGTGCTTTGACGGCTCGGAGACCAATCGGTTAGAGCATATTGAGGGCGTTTTGATAGATCGGAGACCAATCGGTTTGAGCATGGTTGATTGAGGGTGCTTTGACGGCTCGGAGACCAATCGGTTTGAGCATGGTTGATTGAGGGTGCTTTGACGGATCAGAGATCAATCGGTTTGAGCATGGTTGATTGAGGGTGCTTTGACGGCTCGGAGACCAATCGGTTTGAGCATGGTTGATTGAGGGTGTTTTGACGGATCAGAGATCAATCGGTTAGAGCATGGTTGATTGAGGGTGTTTTGACGGCTCGGAGACCAATCGGTTTGAGCATGGTTGATTGAGGGTGCTTTGACGGCTCGGAGACCAATCGGTTAGAGCATGGTTGATTGAGGGTGTTTTGACGGATCAGAGATCAATCGGTTAGAGAATGGTTGATTGAGGGTGCTTTGACGGCTCGGAGACCAATTGGTTAGAGCATATTGAGGGCGTTTTGATAGATCGGAGACCAATCGGTTAGAGCATGGTTGATTGAGAGTGTTTTGACGGATCGGAGATCAATCGGTTAAAGCATGGTTGATTGAGGGTGTTTTGACGGATCGGAGACCAATTGGTTAGAGCATATTGAGGGCGTTTTGACAGATCGGAAACCAATCGGTTAGAGCATGGTTGATTGAGAGTGTTTTTACGGATCGGAGATCAATCGGTTAAAGCATGGTTGATTGAGGGTGTTTTGACGGATCAGAGACCAATCGGTTTGAGCATGGTTGATTGAGGGTGTTTTGACGGATCGGAGACCAATTGGTTAGAGCATGGTTGATTGAGAGTGTTTTGACGGATCGGAGATCAATCGGTTAGATAGATAGTACTGTGCACTAATAAAATTATTTAGCCTTCTAACGGCATTTTACTGTCTCATTTCATATCTGGATTACACACTGAATCCTAAAAAAAATGACTAAAACCCTAAAATACTAGTTAACGTTCAATGTGACAGACCTCAATTTAAGGGGAGTGTTCGCGAAAAATGAAATGGGGTATAAGCAACCTACTGAAACGGACACTAGAGTGTATGTCGAATGAAAATAATAATGTTAATAATTATAGATAATTAAATGAAATCTGTCTTTCAGGAATGGTGAATCTGGAAGAGCTTTGTGGAGATTCCCTGACTTGAGTGCAAATCAGAATGGAGGAGTTGGAGCAGTCAGGTAAAGACGGAGAAGGGTTATTTTAATTATTGATGAAACAGGAAATTTTAGCAGTAAATATTTGAAAGAATTACCTATTCTCCCTTTACCTTGAAATGGGGGTCAAAGATTAGCAAGGGTGTTTACAGGTGGGGGGGGGGCAGTGCCTCCCCTAGACCTGTAAAGGGGGGAGGGTGTGGCGTGGATAGCTAATAGGCTATATGGTTTAACCCTCAAATAACCCAAATAAGTAAACAGTCCCTTTAAGTGCAATTAATTTTAGTTTTACGCGAAAATTCCTTTAATTACTAATGAATAAGATTTACAGTACCCTAAATTTAGAGCGAGGTTTCAGCTCTCCCAGGGTCCAGGCTCTCAAGGTTCTATAGCAGCACAGTTCAACTGTGAGGTAAGAAATCATGATTTTTGATTTTATTGAAAAACAGTCGTTGGGCCGGCTTTAGGGAACACATATACACATATCTTGTTTGCTTAAAGAAGACAAACAATAAAGTATAGATTGAAGAAATAGAAGAAAACGTATAAATTAAATATATATTGTCTAGGGTACTACACTATCTGGAGTAGAATTTGAACTGTCTGGGGTAGGATACAGGGTCTCATTGGTCAAACGAAGATTTGTTTCAATTTTCTTCTCAAAAATTCATTATTTTATTTTAACCCGAAAAGCCAAAATTAGCAACAAAAATTTAAGATAATTCAGTGCTTAGGCTCCATTTCATTTTGATGCGGATCCGAATTCAAGAAGCCAAAAAGTTGCGGATCTAACGGATCCGGATCCGAAGCACTGGAATAATTATAAAACTTGCAAACATAATGATTGTGAGACGGCTTTATTATTTCTTTGGCGAAAAGTATGTACATTGAATAATATCTATACTGCAGGGTTAAGATATAACTTATTCTTAAACTAGCTTGGGAACCCAGCTTTGACCGAAACTTATTTTTTCCCTATTAATGTCAACTCTCTCAACTGAGAGAATTTTTAAACCAAGCTAAGAACATTCCGGTGGTTCTACCTAGTTCCCCAATTAAAATTTTTGATCCGACATACAATCAAACAATCAATTGAGGATTAGTAGGATTATTTTTGTCTTAGTTTAATCTCCTTATTATGTTTAAAGACTTGGGCAAATTTTACTCAAATATAAATAGATGTGTTCCTGAGCTTGAAGCTATTGTGTTGGATAATGGATACCCATAATCCCGATAGTTTGACCTTTATATCCACAGTGGACAGTTTTCAATTTTACGGAGAATCTGATTGAATACTTGATTTTGGATATCCCTGCTTCTTCTGTTCTCTAATTGATTAAAACCCAAAATACCCAAACTTCCGATTAGCCGCTTGTTTTGATATTTAACGGGATATCGAATAAAGATTAAGTAAATCATCGGATTAACAAAAGATCGAGATCAATCTTTGATCCGAGTTTATATTCCAGGCAGCTATGTCTCTAAACCTGAGGGTGCTCTGCTTATATCTAAAGTCTAGGTCTTATCTCAGTAAATTTATCTGTTCAAGAGACTGTTACTGTTTTTTTAAAAGGGTCCAAAGAATGCAAATGAGGTCATTGTTAATCCCCATTAATTCGAAGTCGATCTGATTGTAATTAAAGGGACAGTAAAGGAAAAATGAAAGGGGGTACAGGCTGAAAGCTTATCACTTTAGCTCTTGATCTCGACCCATGAAAGTCATATCTGATGTTCTTGTCTCGAGAAATTGATAAAAAACTGTGTCAAATCTATACGAAAATTAATATATATACAATTTTGTATAAAAGTAGTAGGTTTAAACCGATCATATTCAGCAAATAAGCAACCAATCTGAAACGATGATATCCCAGAGAAAGCTAATTGTAATTTAGGTTTACTTTTATATTTGTTGTTTCTATTTTCAATAGATTTCATTCATAATATTATTTATACATCCGTATTGCTTGACCAGAAATTCCACCAATGGCAGTGCAGTAAAGTGGTCACGTGATACAGGCGGAGACACGTGACCAGTATACTGCTCTGCTATTGGTGATAGTTCTGGTCACGTGATTTAAGTTTCAGATTTTCAAAATTTTACATATATGAATTTTTGTATAATTTTAACACAGTTTTATATCAGTTTCTCGAGACAGGAACATCAGATAAAACTTTCATGGGTCGCGATCAAGAGCTAAAGTGATTAGCTTTCAGCCTATACCCCCTTTCATTTTTCCTTTACTGTCCCATCAAGAGTTTTTTTTAGATAAACTATCCGTAACGTACAGTTCAAAGTAAACGACTTAAGATTTAAATTTTTGATTACTACCAAGCTTTTAGACAGCATGGACACACATACATTTAAACATGTCAATTAACAGTTTCTCTTTGTTTACTTGTAAACTTTTAATTTGTAAAAGCCTTGTTAGAAATCAAACTTAAATAGAAAGTCGTCTTTTGTCAATGCCGACCATGGTATACAAAAATTCCGAGAAACCTCTCTGGTAGCCTATGCTGGTAGCCTATGCTTCCACTGTCACGACCTTCTTATTGACGATGTTTATTCTCAAATAATCTTCTAGGAAAATTGGAAAATCAAATAAATTCATCACTAAATAGGATTTGTACTTAGGACTCTTTTTCAAAAACATGAAGATTCCCTTAAGTTCAAGGACTCTGGTCAAAAATCCATTTCTTAAATCAATGAGAACTTTCAGTATCCTTGATATATCAGATAAATCTACTGTCTAGTGTGTTGAATCCTTTTAGAGAACCCAGTAATCAGTTTTTATTAATAATCATATCTATCTATCAATCTATCCATCTATAAATCTATCTATCAATCTATCCAATCCATCTATAAATCGATCTATCTATCTGTCAATCTTTTTTTTTAATTGTCCTTTAATCTTTTATTCTATCTCATCATGTATTTCTCCATCTAACACTAGGTTAAATATACTATTATTATTTCCATGTTTATATGGAAATAAGTTTTTAAATAATTGTATTTTAATTAGAAATATGTAAATTTTGTTCTTTACTAATAAATGGCAGAAGTGCTGTTATCCCTTTTAAGTTAGTTTGTAGCTTTTTTAAGGTTTTACTAACAACAAACTAACTAAAGGTTTATAATTAGATTTTCGCTAGATTCAAGTTAATTCAGTTTAATTACAATAAAGTAACTTTTTCTCAAATACTCAAATCTTATTAACGTATTTTTTTATTTAATAAACTTTCATTATTTTTAAATGTTACTTAAAACCGGTTACTTGAGATAAGAATGATGAAATGATACTAAAAAGTGATATTAAAAGTTCATGTTTGAAGTGAAATACTACTGAGCCGACTCCTGGTCTTTTATGAATTTTATAATTTAAATTTTTGTATATTTTAGGAAAATATGTGAGTGAACCTGATGTTTCCCTGGATACGAATAGGTAAATATTTTACATTTTGTATATTTTCCTACTATAGCAATTGAGAGACGGCTTGAAGGTCGTCTTTGACATTTTTAATTGTTTTCATTCGTTAATTTGTCAATCATCATTTTGACAGGGTAGCCAAAATCTGGTTTGTTTTCTATGTTCATTCAAAATCTATATTTTTTTTAGACTACAATTTTATTAAATAAAAAAATCGTCTAAATTTGAAATTCTTTATAACTCCGATAGTCTTAAAGCCCTAGAAGCCAGGCCAAGATTTAAATGCCTGGACAAAAAGAAATTTTGAATAAGTTTAAAAATTGAGCTTGTTAGATTAATTTTACTGATGAATGCCGCAAATAAGTTCAAAGATCTTAAAGACGTCTTTAAACTGGTATGCTCGTCGGAAACCCTGATTTATTGAGACCAATGTGAATTTTATTAAACCAGTTTACTTAAAGTACTTCTAAAATTGAATAAAAATTGAGAACTTACTTTTTGCCAATATCTAGAAAGGGAAATTTCAATTTTAAATGTTCAGTCTCTCAATGAAACTGATTTCTTGCCTCTTAAAGGGTGTATCTTGCTAGACATGGTAGGGATGAGAATGCAGAAAATTTTGTTTATAACAAATTTAAATCCTCCTTGGATTGTCCAACCCACCAGGCAGGCGTGTAGGGCAACACTGAAATCTAGACAACTCTAAAACTTTATCATCAAATCATTAGACAGCCTCGACTTTTAAGTGTCGCACCGACTTTGCATTTCTTTTTACCTCACGAACTCACTTATAATTTTTGTATCCCTAGAATATACATTTCATAAATGCAAAGTGCTTGTTTCTAGCTTAGGTTTAAAAGGAGTAATTGGCTAAATACTGCTCGATTTTTGTTTGAGCCATCTACCCTGCAGGCCTGTCTTGCATCGACTAAGTGGGCAGTCGGGTTGGACAATACAGAGGGTCAGGGATTTCTCTACAATACTACATTATCAGCTCAACACCCATGTCTAGCCACACACTCCCATTAAACTAATATTTAAAACCTGTATCTGAGTAGTGTGTGTACTTGTAGCCTTATGATACTTCAAACCTCGACCATTTGATTTTTTTTTATAAAATGTTAAATATCTAAGATCTACAACGTCAGGTTGCGTAGATATGAGGATTGAATTTTCAACAACAACAAAATATACTAACAAAGTTTTAAAAGAATATTTTCTGTTTCAGATACGCGGCCCCGTCTTCTTTTGATACAGAGTACTGAAATATTTATCTTGTGTGTAAACAATAAGCAACATGGAAGATAGAAACTAGAAAACATAAAATTATTTTAGTTTTCAACTTAGGAACCTCGTTATACATTATTTTCTTCAAAAATGGATCATCAGAATTACTTTTATCTTTAAAAATCCTTAGAAAAGTTGAAGATGAATCTTTGACAAGATATTCTAGATCCCTAAATCTCTTCCATTAAAAATTGACGGACGCCTTAATTTTTTTGTAACTTTGAATAGAGATCTGTCATTATTGAGTTCTTTTAAATCTACATTTTCTTGTTTTTATATATTTAATGAGTAAATGCTCGGATGTAATTATTCCATATATAATCAAAACACATTTTGCATTTCATCTTCTTAGAAATGATTCTTAAGTTTGCTTAAATTTAAATTAAACAGCAGTCAAGTAAAAAGTTCAATTTTCAATATTAAATCTAAAATACCCGCCCCCCCCCCTTCCTCTTATCTAACTGTGAAAAACATTTTTATTGATTTTATTTGAGATCTGATCTGGCTCGAAAATATATAACATAGACAGTAGCTGTTTCATTTAAAAAGAAACAAAATAATATTAATTCAGAAGTGACAAATCAAATGAAAATCTAATCTGCATTATTTTTATGTCGATCTTTAATTTCTGGATCTGGAAATTAAAGGTGTTTTTGTCAACTTAAACATCGATTTTAGATTATTTTAGATCAAATAACATTTGATTTGATTTTTTTACCTCCCCCCACCCTCTCTTCAAATTAATGACTATTCCCTTTGCACGTTGCAAAGAGGGATGGATCGTTTTCATTTTATTTTCAAAAACGATCGTTTCGTTATGAAAACGATGACGAAAAAACGAAAGATTAAACGATAATTTTTAAAAAACGATCTTTTTAAAAAAGAAATCGTTTTTCAAAAACGGTCGTTATAAAAACGATCGTGTTTATAAAGTATGTCTTTTCGTTAACGACAACCCTTTGTTTACGATCGTTAACGACAACCCCTTGTTAACGATCGTTAACGACGAAACTTTGTAAACGATCGTTAACAAAGAGAGAAGGAGAGAGGAAACCGATCTGAAGGGCGTCGGAACTTATCATTGAGTAGTTTTAAAGGAAATATATAGAAGTTTAAGCCAGCTAACTACCGTTTTTATAAAGTTCGTCGTTTCGTTAACGAGCGGTAATGATAACTCTGCATTAACGTTCGTTAACGATGACCTTTCGTTAACGAAGACCCTTCGTCAACAATGTCGTCGAAAAACTCCTATTTTCTTTAAAAACTATAATTTTAAAAAACAATCATATAAAAACGGTCACTAATAAAAACGATCGTCATTCATTTTTTCAAAGTTCAAAACGGGTGGGTCGTTTTCAAAAACAATTGTGTTTTCCGAAAACGAAAAAATCGTTTTTGAAAACAATCGAAAAACGATTGTTTTCGAAAACGACTAACAACCCTAGTTAAAAATATGGCAAGTTGTAGAAATTATGTTTTAACTATCTTCCAGATTTATTGTCAATGTAATTAGGGTTAAAAAATATTATTTTTATTAATGTAAAATTGCAAACAGTTCGACTGTGTAGCTACAATTTTTATTCAACCAAAAATCTAAGAAAACATTTTTATAGAAACGGATTATTTCCTCACAGAGTGAATTATTTTTTATCTTTTGAAGTGATGTCAAACCCATCTTTTTAGTTCATGTTTAAAAGAATTTATTCGTAATACACATAGAATCCTAGTAAATTATTTTATCAGAAGATACTTTGCAATGTTTTAAAAATTTAGATTAAAATGATGTTTTTGTAACTTGTAAGATCTTTTAATTACTGTTTATGTTTGTTCTTCAGATTGTACTGTGATACAATATTTATTACGGATAAATATATCAATGGATAAACTTGGATAAGTTATTTATTGTAAAAACTATTATTTCTTCAAATTGGACAGGTTTTACCTCTAATAGGGTTGGATTGTTTTTACTTTTCTGAAAAACGAACCAATCATTTTTATTACGACGTAGTAAAAACAAAAAAAATTATTGTTTTAAAAAGGATCGTTTTTAACAATAAAAAGGCGGACGTGGGTTTTTAGTTTGTAGTTTTGTTAGCGAAGGTATGTCGTTTTTGATTTTTGACGATCATTTTATAAACAACCCTTTGTTAACGACCATTATAAATGGTGGAACCTTACATGGTAAGTATGCAGCAGAAAATTTCCCTTAGTCGAGGGGAAGGTATCCAGATATAGAAAACGGGGGAAGTATCCAGAAAGGGGCTCTCAATATAGAATAAATACGATCAAGGAGCTGGAGAGGAAACTGTCCGAAAAGGGCATCAGAACTTATTGAGTAGTTTTTAGAAAAAAATATCAAGACTTAAAAGGAGTTTTCGCGAAAAATTAAAGGGGGTATAGGCTTAATGCGATAAAAAAGCGCTTTTGATCGCTACTAATCTTACTTCTAGATAATCGATGACTATAGGTTGTAATATCTGAATGATTTGTTTGAAATTAAATTGATTTTTTACGTTCTAAGTCGTATGTTGCAATTTTAACAATTTTCTCCATATAGACGCAACAGATAGAAGTAAGATTAGTAGCAATCAAAAGCGTTTTTTAATCGCATTAACCCTATACTCCCTTTCATTTTTCGCGAACACTCCCTTTAACTACCTGCGTGGGTTATGGTTTTATCCACATTTATCCACCATGTAAATACCGAACATACCCGTTATCAAACTCAACCTGCTATGGAAACGCCTCACCACGGAACTACCTAAGAACGCGGAAACCCCTCAGAATTGACATTTTTGAGTTGTTTTCGTGATTTGGGTCCGTCTTAGTATATGATTTTTTTAATTAAAAATTAAAAAAACATCAAAAAGATTTTTCCCTTCCAAACTAAAGTTTTTTTTTCAAAGAAATAAACATATCTTCGTATCTCGTTCAAAATGATTGATTAGTTAAATTTGACCTATATTGTTTTCGCAGGGCTCTAAACCATCCCGGACAAAAAAGTGAGTTTTGACAAAAATTACAGGAATTACACAATTATACGTAATTACGTAATTAAGTAATATTGGAAGGATAGAAAATATTGTAAATGTAGAATTAATTTAGTATTCTTTACAATATTTGAAAATATTATCAATTTTAAATATATTAAGCAATATTTATTTAAAAACATCAAACATTATCTTATCGTGTTACATATTTTGTAAAAAGCACAATATTTTCTTTTCAATTTACATGTATTTGTGTTATTTATCACAAAAAAAAATGTTTTTCGGCTAAAATCTGATGATATCAGAATCAAATTGAATAATGTTTTTTTTCTTTTTTCTATTTCTTGTCTAGTAATTCAAACCATTTTTGTTCTGTAATATTTACTCAACATAAGATGGCAAAACTGTCTAAACTTAATATTTACTCAACATAAGATGGCAAAACTGTCTAAACTTAATATTTACTCAACATAAGATGGCAAAACTGTCTAAACTAAATATTTTGAAGTCCTCTTCCATTTATAGAGTGGTATGTCCAAATCACAGAAATCACATTGGCCCCTCCTCCTTTCTTTGATCGTCAAGAACTAAGAATTTGAATGTACAGTTTGAACACAAAAAAGGAGGGAGTATCACATCCCTATTTTAAACAATTACCGGATTTCAGCTTATGTCGCATTTTCGGAACAAATCCTGGTTTTGAGACATTTTACCGGAATTCATATCAATGTCAATTTTCAAGTATTTATTCACTTATGAAAAAAACAAGATTTTTTTGATAAAGTAAAATAGAAACAAAATAGAAAATAAAAACAAACTTTTCTTTTATAATTTAAAAATCATTACTGCAGCATTTACAAATCAAAATATTAATATCAATATTAATATTAAGAAAATCGTTCAATTTGTGCCCATTTCTAACACTCAGTGTTAGAAATGGGTCAAGTGTTAGTTTTGGAACTACTGTCCCCTGAATCAATTATGAGAAAAATATTTAACAGTGAATTTAGAGAAATATTTTAACAATGAATTAATAGAAATATTTAACTATGAATTGACGCACATATCATTAATTATAATTGGGGATATCAGTAATACAGGGTGTCCCAAAAAACATGGGAATTCAGTGACGAATTCGATATCGTCTTTGTTATGAATTAGCATTGTAATACATAATTTCAAAAGACATAATATTATTATGTCTGCTAGAGTTTATTTAATGAAAAGGGTAAAAGACTGAAAAGATGTGTCTATAATGTCTCCGCAAGATGAACAGTGAATATGGACAAGTTTACTCTGTATACTGTAATTTTCTTGTTTTACTAAGTACAACCGGTTGAAGTCAAAACATAAACAAACAAAATGTAAACATAGCAGACGAAACTCTTACAGATTACAGCTTTCTCAGTAGGTATCACTATACTAAATCAAAGAATTATTCATAAAGACGATATCAAATTCGTCACTGAATTCCCATGTTTTTTTGGGACACCCTGTATATAAAAAACATTCTGATATCAATCTTATTCGTTGAAATATTTTCAAAATCAATTTTTATTCTCTGCTTTAATGTCATTCATTTTTCATTACAGTGGCACTCATAAAATGTGTAATAGGTAGACGACATTTAAGCAATTTCATGTGCATTTGATGTTTATATAAAGCAAATGGTTTCCACAGTGCCTTGAAAATCAGCGTAATAAGTGAAATGGGTCTGTGTACTCTGCTCAAATGCTTTGTTAATTTATACATATTTATTAATTTGGACTAATTAAATCCATAACTTAAGTCTCATTACTAAGAATAAGTTAAAATTATAAAAACGTTTTTAATTGCCTGTAATTTCAGAGTGGCATTAAAGTACAAATTGTCAAATTGTTAACTGTTAAAGTGTGAACTGGTAAATTGCCACATGGTGCATTGTCAACTGGCAACTAAGTCAAGTGGCAAAGTAGTCACTTGGCAAGATGGATACCTGGCAACGTTGTCACATGGCATAGCGTCAACTGGCAAAGTGTTGCCTGGCAACTTGTTACATGGCAAAGTGACACATGTCAAATAGCCGCCGGGAAAGTGATACATGGCAATCTTACAACAATTTACAATATATTAAGAAAGTTTTTTTTAATATACACTATACCACTGCAAGGTCAAATTTATGCGACATTAACGGTATAACTTTTTGACCTCGTATCTCCTCCTGTTTTGATTTTTACGCACAACTATGGGGAAAGCTATTTTTATTCGGTTACATACAGGGTGTCCCATGAACCATGACAGTTGGTGAATAGTTTTGAATGTCTTCTTCCACATACTGTATTAGATATTAAAGACTTTTTTCAATTTATTTCTTTTAAAAAATGTTTACTCATTTATATTTTACTGTGAAATCAATTTTACAATAATAAAACTGTCATATAAAAATGTTATCAGTCTCTTCAGTATCAAACAACTTATTAAATTATGGAAGAAGACATTTTAAACTATTCACCAACTGTCATGTTTCGTGGGACACCCTGTATTAGAAATTAAAAACACATTTATTTTTCTCAATAGCTCTGTAATAAGAGGAATTATGGTTGAAAACAATATAGGAATACAATCTTATGTGGAATTTACTTTAGTTTAACCTACGAGGTGTAATCAATAAGAGGAATTATGATTGAAAACAATATAGGAATACAATCTCTTTAGTTTAACCTACGAGGTGTGATCAATAAGAGGAATTATATTGAAAACAATATAGGAATACAATCTTATGCGGAATTTACTTTAGTTTGACCTACGAGGTGTGATCAATAAGAGGAATTATGATTGAAAACAATATAGGAATACAATTTTATGTTGAATTTACTTTAGTTTAACCTACGAGGTGTGATCAATAAGAGGAATTATGATTGAAAACAATATAGGAATACAATCTTATGTTAAATTTACTTTAGTTTAACCTACGAGGTGTGATCAATAAGAGGAATTATGATTGAAAACAATATAGGAATACAATCGTATAATGAATTTACTTTAGTTTAACCTACGAGGTGTGATCAATAAGAGGAATTATATTGAAAACAATATAGGAATACAATCTTATGTGGAATTTACTTTAGTTTAACCTACAAGGTGTGCTCAATAAGAGGAATTATGATTGAAAAAATATAGGAATACAATCTTATGTGGAATTTACTTTAGTTTGACCTACGAGGTGTGATCAATAAGAGGAATTATGATTGAAAACAATATAGGAATACAATCTTTACTTTAGCTTGACCTACGAGGTGTGA